TTTATATCCTTGACGTCGCACCATTGTACTGTGGTTTTTAACGGCCACACTTGAGATTCTAAATGCCACCATAATCCAATATTTTTGCCAACATGGTACGAAATGAATATTCGTCTCAATCAGATTAGAAACGCTGTCATACTTTCAAACCAAACAGAATTTTTTTTAATGTGTTTTTTCTCAAATTTTCTCAATAATCTAAAAGATCATTTTTGATACATATTGAAAATCACCCACTACTAGATAATAAAATTAAAAATTAGAAAATAGAAGTAGAAAACCTACATATCGAAATAAGTATGCGAAGTTGTTCACCCTTTCCGATTGTTTCAAATTAACTCTAAGCTTTATAATGAAGCATGTGAAGTTTTCAAAGCTTTGACAATCACAAGAAAGAAATGCCATAAAATTAAGGCTATCGATACGGGCAAAATTCGCAAATATGGAATGAATCCGCTAGCGACAGAGGACAGACTCTCCCTGACTATACCCTGACGTCAGCTTTTTGACTACGGTGATAAGCAAAGATCGGATTTTTATGCAGTATAAATTGTCAAAATATGCAGTTGAAATCCCTGAAATATGCAATAATATGCAGTAGTAATACGTTAAAATATGCAATGATATGCAGTAAACCAGTTTTTTTACTATCTTTTTTAACGAGGGTATTTCAAATGTTATTTGAATCCTCGGAGTGCCGGTCAAGATACAAAAAAAGCCCATTTGTAAGTATGTCGGGTTCGAATCCAGCGGCCTGCATTCGAACCCGGAACCTTTACCTTACAGTGATGAGCGCTGTGTCAACGCCACCGTTGCGGCCATCGTCGCCCCCTAGGGTTTGTTTACATTTAACAAAAATATTTTATCACTTACATAATTAAATTATATATTTTATACTAATTGAAATATAATTAATGTTAATAAACAAGTACTCTAAATTGTCTTTCGTGAAATAGTGACCGGTCACTAAAAATTTGTGAGGTTGTATGTAAAAATCCTTCAAATGTGCGATATTATTCAAATATACAATTTTATGTGATATTCATCAAATCTGCAAAAATGTATTCTATAAAATTTAACCCATAGCTTCCTAGATACAATCGGATAGATAATTGATTTCCTCGGTCGTATGTGGTGGCAAGCAAAATATGCAACTGCATAAAAGTCCGGTTTCTAGTGATGAGAAATAGAATATACTTTCTAAATTTAAATTCTTGCTAGAATTTAGTAACGGCTGTGGTCACAATTTGTTTAATGTGGAATCAGTATTGGTTATAAATTGTTTATCTTTTATATAAATGTTCACCCAAGTAACTTTTTTTTTAAATGACGAATTTTACTAAAAGGAACGATATTGTGGCAGTTCTAGCAGTCGGATGTCTTTGATGAAAAATTTCAATAGCAATAGCCTTTTTACTAATTCAAAAACAATTAGCACTTGCACCTACTTTAGAACGAATTTTGACAAAAGTTTCACTAAAATGAATATATTCAACAAGGACTAATTTTCATAAAATATGCATTACAATATTTTTGCCTCGTGGTGTGAAAGTAAATTTATTGCACCGCCATAATTTCAGACTCCTTTGTCACATCCTTCGATCGTCCTTTAGTTAGAAGAGCCCGGTTGCAAAAGAGCACCGTTAAAGATTACCCCGATAGTTTAAAACAATGGAAGACAGTGTCCTCCAAAAAAAATTGTTTTGCAACACGTTGCACTCGCGTACAGACGACTGATTCACGCGGGAATTTAAGCCGATTTGTTTTTGTCTCGCCGGAAATAAATCAACGAACGAAATTTTGAACGAGCTCAACTGGCTGGATGACGTCGTTTCTCGACCCCTGTCCATAAGACGTCCCATTGAATCAATTGAAGCCACGGTTGATACAAACGGAAATCAATTGACCCTGTCAATGTCATTTCTCATTGATGTTCACTCGTGGCTTAAAAAAACTGCAATTTTAAAGATGATTAGTCATCTTGCATCCACCAAACTGAATGAACTCTTCATGCTTAATAAATCTCCAACTTTTAATTATAAAATATTTCAAAATTAATAAAAATACTATTTTGGTCATAATAAAATGCTTGTAAAAATGAGTATTTACTCTACTACTAATAATATATATATAATTTTACAAGAAACTTGGTTATACAGATTTGTCATAAAGTTTTTAGAAAGTACGTTTATAAATTGCTTCATTAAAAAATTTCTTGTAGGTAAAGTAATAAATTAGGTCAAACTTCAAAAAACACCAAGAACAAGAATATCTCGATATTTTTTATCATTTAAGTTGAGAGGTTTATGACCAGTTAAAAAGGTAATGACGTTTGGTTGGTTCATAGCTTTTTCTGGTAAAGTCTTAACAATGCCAAAAGCGAAATGTATTTTTATGTGGTATCACATTAACATGTTTTAAAACCGAAAACTTATCTGTTTATGTGTTATTACAATATAATTATACTTAATGTTTCATAGTCGTTTTTTCTGATATTGATTTGCAACATGACAAAACTGAAACAATTTTTGGACAATATGTCACATTAGCTTGAGTAACGAGCGAAACAGTATGGTTTTGGGGTTTTTTCCCCTATTACATGTAAATTTGTTCTGAAATAACAAAATCGTGTCAATCAGAGATAGTGCCACAAGCACTAAGGACGTCGGCTCGAATTTCCACGTCGACTCACACCGAAACGGGTAAATTGGAAACGGTTATCCACTCAGGATGTCCACAATTTCCACCGTACGGCTTAATAAATATTTTAAACAATAATTTCGAATAAATGGGCAGGTCGTGATGGTTGTTCGAATGTGTCCGGACGCATCACAAGCATAGAAATCGACGAATTGTGAGACCTTTTTATAAATTGTGAGATTACGCAGAAATTGCATAGCTGGGGTGAGTGAAAACGAAACTCGGCTAACTGAAGACAGCGAGAAAAGAAAAATTCCACTATACCATCAAAAAGGAAGAAATCTGCAAAATATAGTTATTATGCTGAACAAGTGTTATTTTACTTACTTTTAAGTAGGTTAGATTCTTCTCCACATGGCTTTCTTCAAATATTAGAAAATCTGACATCACGCAAAGAACACCTAAAAGATTTAACTAAAATTATTCTTCGCATAACACCAAGCTTTGCCCTATTGAACAGGAAAATTTAAATAAACCGCACAAAAATTAAATTCGATATCTACTAAAGACATTTTTTGTGCCCCTGTGCCTTTAAAAGTTGTTACTCAAGGCTCGATTTTTGAGCCCACTCTTTTCTCTGCATTAATGGTTTCCCCAAATCGAACGGTTGTCGTATGGTTAAAATCTTAAAAATCTCGATCCATTATTTCTCATAGAAACGTTGTGTTCTATTCTATTCTATTTTACGCTAAATTAAAAGTTTTTCACTGAAGATGGCGTAATGCCGAAACGCCTTTGAATAACTCAAACAAAAAACCCGCGAGTGAAGACAGACCCAGTAGTGCCCGTGTGCCGGTTCAACATAATTAATTTCTGGTATGGTGTCACTTTTCCTGGTACCCACACATTTGTATCTGTCGATAAAACTATTCAAATTACATCTTAAAAGTCGTTTTTCTCCTAGGCATCATATTCGTTTAATGACTCAGAAAATAACACACAAATAATAAATGTTTTTCCTTGATTTCCCATAATTTTTGTCACGACTGTCCAATTTGATCTGTGACTCTTTTCTACTATTAATAAATAAAATTGGATATAATAATAAATGCTTAAGTCATCAAGGTTATTAATACCTTCAGATATTCATGGGGTCCAGAAAATTAAAAAAAAAAGAAACGTTCTGAGCCACTGTAAGTAGTAAATAAAATTATAGGTTCATTTCCTTGTTTCCTTTTTGTTAGTCCTGTTTAAGAAATAAATTTAATTGCTTTAAATTTTCAATCAAAAGCTGGCTTTTGAGTGCTGTACATTGGTGAAATAGTTGAGTGTAAATACACAGTGGACACTCCACCATCAAGTTTCAAAAAGGAATTGTCAAAACTAGTACAAATTCTGATCAACCTAATTTTACTAAAACTTCTTACAGTCGATAAATCTTTGACGTTAACTAATTACTGTCGGAAAAATTGAAAAGTAAGAAATTCTCATGGTCGTCCTTGTCTTTTTAACGACACAGCTCGACCTAGAAAGGTAGAACGTTCAGAAAGTTCGACGCCTAAATATCGCTATTAAAACAACATATTCACTATTATACTATTTCATTTATATTATATTTTTTATTATTATTATATTGTAGGTTAGTTCTGCCTGTATCTCGCGCTACGAGGAGGTAGATTTAAAAATTTATACACCTTCATCCTGTATATAACCCCATTATATTTAGTGGTCTATTGACCAAATTACTTCTTTCAAGTAATTATTCTTTTTTTGTATGGTTTTGGTTGAAATGAAACTGTATATAACTTCACTAGTTTCGTGGTCCGCTTGACCAATTAATATCATACAATTAATTAAGGTTTTTAGTCGAGATAAAAAAGTCAATGGCACGAGCAGGATTCGAACCCACGATCTTCGGCTTGATACGCCGCTGCTCTACCACTTGAACGATCGTGAAAGATCGTGGGTTCGAATCCCGCTCGTGCCGTTGACTTTTTTATCTCGACTAAAAACCTTAATTAATTGTACTGTATATAACATAGTAATTATATCCAATCGCATTTGCAAAAATAATTAAATTATTTTAATTTTCAGCGTGTGTTCACACAGCTGTAATAAGAATATAGATTACTGTAGTTTCAAAAATTGTACATAAACTGAGGGTTAATTTAACTGTACCACCGCGTATAGTTTGGGAATATTTAATGTCAAATGGATTCATAAGTTTAGTACATAAAAAACGAAAAAATTATTGGCTATGGAGATTTAAATTTAAAATATTTAGCTCAAATTAAATTTTTTCATATAGGGCGAATCTTTCGATGCTTTATCAAACGTATAATAATTCTATATGTTTTTAGATGGCAAGCATCCGACCAAGAGCCTGTCGTACGGAGAGGTCGAGGAGAGGTCCAACAGGTTGGCGAGGGCATTACTCCTGGCGACTAAAGATAAAAGTCCCAATGATGATGGAGACAGGGTCATCGGGCTGTGCATGGAGCCGTCGCCGGAGCTCATCATCGCGATCCTCGCCGTTTGGAAGTCCGGATGTTCTTACCTCACATTCGCCCCGAACGCGCCGGTCAACCGGACCAGACACATCGTCCAGGAAGCCCGACCTGTATTGGTCGTGACAGACAAAAGTATGAAACTTGCAAAGAATTTCTATGTGAACCGGACAGATCAAATGTGTCTTGCGTAGGTGGCACAGGTGATCTCTACGCGCCGACGGAATGCGTGGAGTTTTCAGGACTTGAGGCCGTTTCCGCAGACCTGTCCGAATCGACCCTGGAAGAAGACGAATCCTACCCGACGAAGCAGGACGCCATAATCATCATCCTGTACACTTCTGGCAGTACGGGAATCAGCAAGGGTGTCCGATTGAGGAATTCAAGCACTCTCAACCGACTCCGCTGGCAATGGCGGGTTGTTCCTTTCGCCGAGACCGAAGACCACTCTGTTTTCAAGACTTCTTTGACTTTTGTCGATTCTGTCTGTGAAATCTGGGCACCACTTCTTGAGCCTACAAGAGGAAGGACACTCGTCGTCATCCCTTCTGCCACGACGACAAACCCTCAGAAATTGGTCGCTCTGCTGAACAAATATAAAGTAAATTTCATTCATATATTATACAATTGAGAACTTTCTACATCGTTTCTATTGCTTGTTTTTAGGTCGAGAGATTCCTCCTTGTGCCGTCCCTCCTCAAAAGCATTCTTCTCTACCTTGGTCTTTCTAAAGAGAATGCAGTAAGTCCGAAAATATATTTCCCAAAACTTAGTCATCGCTAATCATCATTGAATCGTTGATATTTATGGCATATTCTTATCAGTTTATAATGCCAAATCTGACATCACTTATTCAAAGCAGTGGTTTTTAAAAAAAAAATTTCAATAGGATTTATTATTGCAAAATTAAGACTGCCTTTTGCCTCGAATTAACAATCATGTAGCAAAAAAGTTGTTGACACTTACGATAACTGTAATGAATTCGTTTGCTAAATCTTTTAGAATTTTATCATAAGCATGACTTCCTTAGGAATCTCCAACTTATAGTTTTATTGTCGAAGAAATGGAAATTGCCTTATTCACAATTGTAAATTAAGATGTTTGCCGTCGGATTATCAGTCATCTTTGGCCCAAAAATTGCCCATTTTTATGATTTATGAACACGCGGCCTTATTACGACTTGACTTAAAGTATAAAATTTGGATGATACCATTACAGCGTTAAATTACACAATTTGAGATATGTTAATTAACTTTTTGTTTTCTTTTTAAGAAATTACTCGACAGTGTGAAAACATGGGTGTGCAGTGGTGAGACACTTTCGGTTCCACTGGCCCTCGAGTTCTTCGACAATTTCCCCTCCGGCAATCAATCCTTGTACAACTTTTACGGGAGCACAGAAATAATGGGCGATGTAACTTATCACAAAATGAGCTCTTTTGAGGAAGTGAGCATCAACGGAAAAGTGCCGATAGGTAAAAAGCCCTTAAATCTGTTTTTATTGCGATTTTAATCGAACCCTAATCCAACCAGGAATTCCTTTGGACAATACAATCATCTACCTCCTCGATGAGAGCATGAAAGTCGTCGACGTGGGCCAAATGGGCGAGCTGTATGTCGCCGGAACCCACCTCGCCGACGGGTACGTCAATAAAAGAGACACCTACCGTTTTGTCGACAACCCCAACACCGTCGACCCAGGTATCTGTGAAAAGCTCATACCCACAAATTACAAAATCTGACGATTGGGATTTTCCAGCGTACAAAACCGTGTATAAAACCGGCGATTTTGGGCGCGTCGTCAAAGGGACTTTGGTCTTCGAAGGAAGGACCGATTCCCAGATCAAAGTGCGAGGAAACAGGGTCGACCTCGCAGAAGTGGAAACGGCCCTTAATAAAATTTCAGGGGTGCAAAAGGGTGTCGTTTTGTGTCATCGCCTCGGAGAGTCTGGCCAGGTACATTTCCAATTTTTTGTCTCTAGCTATTTAAAATAACTGTAAAATTGTTTAAAGCAAATAGTAGCGTTCGTCCTTCTTGAAACAGAGTCGAAACTCGATCAAAAAACAATCGAAGAAGAACTTTTAAAATCTGTGGCAGAATACGCCAAACCACAGGTACTGACTAAAAATTTAAACAGAAATCAACAATTTAAAAACGAAGTTTTCTATTAGGTCTTAATTATTAAAAAAATGCCTTATTTGGTTAATGGAAAAGTAGACAGGCAGAGTTTACTTGCACTCTACCGTGAAGTTGAAAGTAAGTAACTATTACAACTTTTTACTTTTAAACATTTACAATTTTTTTTAAACATTTAATTTATACTAATTTTTAATGCTAAAGCACAAAGTTAATTTGGATGAGAAGGTAAGTTTTCAAATTAAATAAATAATTTTTTTTAACTTGTAATGATTTTTAGGTGCTCATTCGATTGAAGCTAATATAAACTTCGACTACAGTTTTGTCCCCAAAGATAAAATGGACGCTGCCGAATGCCTGTTTTCCACTGTAGCTGAGGTGCTTGGTCATTTGGCAAGAGGCAATATCAGCTGCAAAACAAATTTCTACGAACTCGGGGGAAACTCGCTCAACTCTGTTGTGACCATATCGAAACTCAAAGAAAATGGATTTTTCATCAGTGAGTTGATTTATCATTTTTGAGCAGTGAGGCACTCAAACTATTGCAAGAAAATTCATCAGAAAGTTTATCCTACCACTGACAACATTTATTTTTCATAAACACAGAAAAATCAAACAAGAATAGACTTGAGTTGTGTGTGGTGATTAGTGACCGTTAATCGATAATTATTCAGAAATCGTGAGATGCGGTCTGGTGTGATGTAGGTTTCAGAAAAACATTTTCTTTATCGTGCCAACGTTTTCCAATAGACTTGAGTTTCATTTGGAAATGCCTCATTTTTTATATGAATAAAAATTAATTTAAATTAATTATATCTACACTTATAATGTACATAACACACAAACAAAGATGTAATATATGATTCCCAACATATTATGTTCTATCTCTATATTGACAATGAAAATTGACTGCCTGCCAACATTTAACGAAGGACTGTTACAATCCTTGACAATGTTGGGACTGAGCCTATCTTATTGAGTTAGTTTCCAGCATAACAATTTAACGACTACTTAACTAAGCTCTATCTAGATAAAAATACAAATAAACTCTCTATGGGCAGGGGTGCTGACTAAAATAATTAATTAATTAATTAAAAACGTTCTATCTTATTACAGATAAAAAATAATTGCTAATTATATTCACAATATGTGTACCTAATAACGAATAATAAATATTACTAAAAATATGTTTAACAATTAATTCTTACAAGTAAAAAAGTTATAATAATAAAAAAATAATGAGAATAAATATAGCTAGTAATAATAGTATATTTAATAACAATAACTTTTGGCCCAGCATGTGTGCAGATAAAGGTTGTTCGATGTGTTCCACTTAATTGAAGCAATTCCTTGGCTCCTTATAGAGAGCGTGTGTGCAGTTCTGAGATCCAAATCCATTCAGACTCCCATGCATTCTTTCCTATTTAAATATCGTTCACTCGATTGGGGTGGTGGAGTAGTTGATATTCCTCCATCACCCTCTACACATATTATGTAACGTGTAATTGAGGGTCAATGGGGTACTCAGTATTCCGCCATCGACTCTGTCACACTATACATTCATGCTAATAAATACATTCACTTTCAATACAAGTTATGACACAAAACTATCATTACTATATACAATGAACTTACTTCCATGCTCAAGAACAATTCTTATATCAGGTGACTATCCTACACACTCTCTATACGGATCCAATGAATGGCACCCTTCAATTAAGTGGGTAATCGTACAAACTCTCTCCACAAGCAGGATGTAAATGCAGGATTTAGTCTTGAATTAAGATTCCTTGTGTCACTTTGCATGGCCTATTGTTAATAGGACGAGGATGATCCCTTTTCTATGATTCAGATCTTCAAAGGGTCCCCCATTGACTGTATTGCTGATATGTAGAAGCATTTCTGCCAATCCAACCCACGGAGCCATTTCCTTTTGATCATTTTTGTAACTTCTTTTGACTGGAATAGAAGAATTTTCATTTTACCTTTTTTTTTAATTAACTTTATTGAAAATAAAAGTTTGTTTTTAGGTTATAAATATTATAATCTTTTTTTTTTCAGGTATTACAGATTTCATAACAGCTGACAACCTGGGTATCGTCATCAGAAAGATGTACAAAAAGGAGGAAAAGGAAAATTTCCAGAATGGTTCTCAATCCCTTAACAAATACACTCTCAGGATATTAGAGGAAAAAGACAAGGAAATTGTAATCGGAATAGTGGCTGACAGCTTTTACAGAAAATCTGATATCGAGACCCACATGGTTCCTCCTGTCAAACGAGCAGAATACATCGCCCTCCTTGAAGCTGTTTGGCCCTATCTTGTCAAACACAGAGTCAGGTGAATTTTTTCAGTCCGGTGTATATAAATGCATTTTAATTTTAAAAATTTAAATTACTTTTCAGTATTGTTGCACTGAATGACAGTGAAGAGATAATGGGTGCAAGTCTTGTTTTCCAAATGGACGATGAACCCGGTGAAATCGACTTACACTGCCAAATTCAGTATGTTCTTGAATTTCTCGATTATGTAGAAGTTCCAATAAGGTATTTTCCTTTTAAAAATAACCCTAATAGAAAACAAAAAGTAAAATCATTGTTTAAAAAATATATATTTTTTAAAGGGATACGATGCTACCAAAAAGCAAAGTGTTGCACTCGTTCATGTTGGGTACGGATCAGCGCCTGACACCACAGGAAAATGTTGAAATAACAGAAATCCTCGAGAGTTACATTGTGCAAATGGGAAAAGAAAGAGGATTCGTAGGTGTTTTCACCACTAACACAAGCCCTCTTACTCAGGTTAGTTTAAATCTAGCCAAATTTACAACACATTTATTACTAATGCGCATTTTATTTCACAGCAACTGGCAGTTATAAATGGCTTCCAGCCTCTCAACAAATACCAAATAAACCAGTATGTTGCACCAGACGGTACCAGGCCGTTTAAAAATGTTCCTGATGACGGTTTTGCCATCTGCGCTTGGAAGCCTTTTTAAAATATGTGATCCCGTGATATGATTTTATTTATATATGTATCTATTTGACCACTGTTATTTGTACCAAAAAGAATTATTTAATTTATTTTCTTGTAATATCCAAAGTGATAATTTCTAGACTAGCCTATAACCTTATGATAGGAAAGTTATTAATTATTACCATTATGTATTATAAAATTTATCAAACTTGCTTGTACATAGTTTTAAAAACATGATGTTTATTGTGTAAAGTTTTGAGAGAGATGAAAAATACATTTAAAAAATATTAATTTAAAGACCTAATATTCACCTTCTCTATATTCATTCAGAATTCCAAGCAAATATCCATCAACTTTATATGTTTATATTGTTTATTATAAAGATGTAAGTATGTCCATAAATTTATCTGTTTAATGATCTGTTAATTTATTTTAATAATAAAGCAATTCACAAATTGAAATGCTGTCTAATATTTATATTGCTTGTGCGAGAAAGTTATTAAGCATTAGTTTTTGAAATCTATGCTTTGCTCTGCTATAATGTAGTGAAATTTTCTGCTAGATTTGTTGATTATTATTTATAATTATTTTATAATTACAAAAAATTTGACATTCATATTTTTAAAGTTGAATTTTACAAATCAAATTAAAAATCAAACTATTTTAATTTTAAGGTGGCTCAAGACATGCGATATTCGCTAAATGCCGATTGCTACCTAACATTTTCCAAGTCTTGGGATGCTCGTCTTGGCATTCGCCTATGTATACATACAACCTGGGTTTGTACAACCAGCCAGTTTGTGCAGAAACAGCAAATACATATTTGCCAAGTACCATGCGAGTCCTCAACACAATACCAATCATGATGGACAACAGTGAAACTGTCGTTGCTGCAGCTGTGGTTACTGTTTTGCCTAGTGGCTACAAGATCGGTCACAGAATAGTTGCCCCATCTTACTTTCAATCCGTTTCCTTGCATCGAAAACCTCATTCTGATTTTTATGTTTGGGAAGAGAAGCATACCAAATTATTGGTTCAGCTTGGTCTGATTGAGAAACTCCAAGAGCGTCATGTTGGGTCAATCCATTCCTAACCAATAGGAACAATGCTAAGTTGTTCTTTCATTAATACGTCTATACTAGTTAAGAATCGTTTATTATTGAAAAATAAATAGCAGTGTTGATTGATGATTACAATTTATCCCCACAGTACTGTTGATTCCTGAATGTGTGGTTATTTCCAATATTTCACGAATATTTGTGCACTTTAAGGTAGGCAAGGAAGTGACGATTAGCCAAGCAAAGCAAGTGCCGAATATTGTTGCTCAGTGAATAACTGAGCACCTGTCCCTACTAGTCGGGATTCGGTGAATCCCACAAGTCTGGAGCCATCAGACTGTGTTATTGTAGTGAAAAAGAAAATAGGAGGAAAATGTTTGAAATGTAAATTGTTTTTGCCGACCAATTCAACTACAGGGTTATGTGAGGGTCGAGCCCTAAAGGAGAAAAAGACCCAGGAAGAATTTGACAACTATCCACTCACTTCCTTTTGCTCTGGAAATACCATCCGTTTCCTAAAACCCGCCTATAATTCCCCTCTTTTCAAAAATATTTGAGATCCTTCTCAAATGATTGGTCCCTACACTAAACTCCCTTGTGTAAAAGTAAAATATCGCTAATGACCACAAGAAGAACCTAGGCATACCTTGAGGATTAAAACCGAAAATGGCCCATTAATATACACATCAGTTTATATTAATGACCCAAAATAACCTATTAATCATTAATCTGGTGGACCAAAGCTCAACAAAAAGTAGCTACCCAATCACTAGGCAGTATACAAAGATTAGCAAACCTATGTATCACAGGGGCAATGAGAACAACCCCTACAAATGCACTAGAAACTGCTAAACCTACTTCTACTGGAAACATATATACAAGGAGAGGCTAGGAAAAGCTCATTTAGGCTCCAAAACAATCAATTGGATAGGAACTAAACAATTCAGGCACACAACTATAATTAATAAAATCAGACACCCATTCTTATAAATGGGGACTGACTACATGATCCTAGAAACATTCTTTACAACAGCCTATAAAGGAGAGGAAGAACTCAGTAGAGCATCAGATACAACGATATGGTATACAGATACCTCCAAAACAAATGAAGAAACCAGATTGGGTGTTTTTTTGTACAAGCCCAAATTATGAGCAACCAATTTAACGATTTAATCAAATCATTGGGGAAGTACACTTCAGTCTTTCAAGCCGAAATACATGCCATACATGTTTTTGCCCAAGGAAATCTTAAAAGAGGTTACACTGGCAAAAATCCTCATAAGATCGGATAGCCAAGCAGGAAAAGTAAAAAAAAAAAATCACATCAGAACTAATCAGTGAATGCATCACAAATGTGTTAATGTTAATCAACACAAACCTGATATCTTCGGTGCCAGGACACCAAGGAATTTTGGGTAACGAAATAGCAGACACACTGGCCAGAGGAGGATCTGCAAGATCTATACTTGGGATAACAAAAACAAATAGAGAATCCTCCATCGCAGAATGGTTCCAAATAAAACAAAAGATGTGGATAAACTCTAGCGGCACTAGACACAGAGAACTTATACTAAACCAACCCTCACCAAGACTGGCAAACTCGCTGCTGCAGTTGGAGAAGGCTAGACACAGAGGAGTGAGTAATAGGACTATTAACCGGTCACTGGCATCTGAGAAAACATCTACACTGCATGGGCATATATAACTATCATCCTATCTGCAGATTATGTAATGAGGAGGAATCAGCCACCCATATCATCTTCAAATGCAAAGCAACGGCTCAATGGAGACATAATCTAGGATACAAAAATCCCAGGGAATGAAATTGTAACGACAGTCAAAGACTAATACATGCCTTCTGAGGAGTCAATTGCACCGAACTTGGGAACTAGGAAGGTACAAGCCAGAAGGCTGCGGAGTCTGGGGAGCACAAACCTCGCTTCCTAGTATCCTCATCACCATCAACTACTTTAATCTTCACCTAGATCACCAGTTCCGCTTTTGTCCACAACTCAGCAGGTCATAGCTTTGTGGACCACATATCCTCATCCCTAGAGTGTAAACAATACTGCATGGGAGCCTTTCTTTACGTGACATAAACGTTGATCACTTATGGCATGAGATAGAGTGTGTTTCTTATATTAACATCTTACATGACCATAATTTTAGTTTTATTTAATTTATTTTAATTAATATTTTTAATTCTACATATTATCATAATTTTTTGTACATATCAAAATTTTCATTTTATTTTTAAAAAATTATCCTTAAAAATAAACATTTAAAACTTGAAAGTTATTATTGAACATCATAGAAAACGGCACTTTCATGAGGCGTTGTGCACATTGCATAACTCAGATTTACGCGTATCACAGAGCAAGTAAAATTACCTCCAACTTTGTTGGTTTTTCGAACTTTATAATGACAAATATGTCTAAATAAGTTTCAAAAAATATATGCCAGGGTTTCCAGCAAAACCAGCTTTGAAAGTCCTCCTCACAAACTAGAAAAGTGATTTTATGTAATAGCAAATGTATAATATAGAAAAATAGTGTATCATTTTTCTACAAGTAGAGAAAACAAAAATTTGTGATAAAGGATTTCATAAAGAAATGAAAAATAACCCAAATCCAAATTTCAAAATGTATTAAACAACTCAATTTTACTTTCAACACAATTCCATGATTATACAATACATTAACCAACAAACTGTAAGAAATGTAAAACCAAATATTCCCAGGAAGAAAAAAACAGGATGACTGACGCTGAAATTGTATCGAGCCCAATAAAGGATCAAGTTGCTAAGTTAACGACGTGAGACTTTCTTCCAATCGCTGTCGTCACCTTTGTCCTCACCTTAAAAATATTATAAACTTACATTTAAAATATTTCTACAACAAAACAAAACATGCAAAAAGGAAAATGTATTTTTTCTAAAACTATCCCTTGCATTATATTTTTTTTCCAGTTCTAAAACAAATATTAACCTTTGTCCATTTGCTTCTGTGGAGGTCTATCTTCAGGAGGAGGTCCTCTTCTGTAAACAAACAGCACAAGTTATATTAACGAAATGCTACTCTTATATAAAGATAAAAATAAAAATTATATTCACCTCATCACTGGTTCTTGAGGCTCTGGATCATTTCTTGCACTTCGCCAACTACCGACACCAGCCTAAGAAAAAAGTTTATTTTATTTTATTTTATTTTTTTTTATTTTTTTTTTAAATGAATTAAACATTTAAAAAAGAAACTTACAGTATCAGATCTTCTAAAGTCGCGGTCTCTATCTCTTTCTCTATCACCACCTCTCCTAAAATCGTCTCTATCGCCTATCCTTCTTCCAAAGCTTCTATCATCCTCACCCCTCTCTCTCCTTCCAAATCCACGATCGCGATCATCATCTCTGTCCCTGCGCCCAAATCCACGCTCATCATCTCTATCCCTTCGCCCAAATCCACGATCGTCATCCCGCTCCCTTCTTGTGAAACCTCCTCTCTCTCTGTCATCGTCCCTTCGTGAAAAACTACCACGATCTGTGTCATCCTTGTCCCGCCAAGAAGTCTCCCCTCTTGTCGCCTCTTCCCTCTCACGCATGCGACTTGATCTCCACGGAGTAAGCTTATCATCCTTCTTGTCCTTCTTATCACTAGGAGCCGACTTGAAGCCCAAAGAAATTTCTATTTCTTCAAGCCTCTTTATTGCCTCCTCCTCACGCTTTTTCTGTATCTCCGCTTGTCTCTTGAGAACTTCCATACGTTTTCTTAAAAGTAAAAATAAACAAATATATTTCTTCTTAATTTTAAATAAATTTACATAATAAAATAAATACCTTTCTTCCTCAGCCTTTTCTTTCTTTTTCAACTCCTCTTCTTTCTCCTTTCTGATTCTCTCCTCTTCAGCTCTTTGCCTCTCTTCTTCTTCAATCTTTCTCTTTCTTTCTTCTTCTTTAGCCTTCCTCCAATTGGCCTCTCTCTCCTTCTTTCTATCTTCCTTCCTCTTGGCCAACCTCTTCTTTCTTTCCTCATTCAATTTCTTCTCATAAATTGCAAATTTCTCCTGTTGGTAACAATAAATTAATAAGTATTAAAAAAAAATCAAGTAAAACATTGATAAGCTTACCTGATAAACCTTGTCCCGAGCAGCTTGCAGTTTATTCATGAACTCTTGCCTATCTTTGGCCATTCTAGCTAGACGCTCTCTCGTCAGGACAGCCCTTTCTCTTTCTTTAACTAAATCAGCAATTCTCCTAGCTTCTTGCTCATCCCATAATTTTTTCTCTTCAATCTATAAAAATTTTCCCAACTTTTTAACAAATCTTTCTTTTCCATTTGAATGTACAAACATTATTCTGTATTTACCAATTTTTCTTTAAAACTCTGCTCCAAAAGTGGAATTTCTTCCTGCCTCTTTGCCCTCTCGAAGTAATCAATCTTTTTCTCTTGCGATTTCAATTTCTGCAGCATTTCCTTTCTTTCTTTCTGCAGCTCCTCAGCTTCACGTTGGGCAATCTGCTCAGCGTCAAGAGCCTTGAGTTTCTCCTCGTCCAACTTCTTGAGAATCTTTTGCCCATGCGGTGTTTGTGAAATTTGATGCATTTTCTCTTTCAAATGTCTATCCTGTTGAAAAAACAAACAATGGTAAATTATCTAAAACATAATGGGATAGCGTGAGTACGTACTTTAATTTGTTGGATTTCATTTTCTTGCCTCTTCCTTTCTCTTTCCTCTCGCTCCTGTTCCAAGCGCCTTTGTTCGTCCAAGTGGAATTTTCGTATCAATTCCCCTTGCCTCTTAGCCTCTTCCTCTTCCTTTAAAAATATATTTTACTACAAAAAGAAAACTTTACAATATACAAAAAACCTACTCTGACAGAGTTGAGCTTTTCGAGATATTCCTTCCTGTCTTCAATGATTTTGTGCCTTGCCAAAATCCTTTCATGCTCTTTGGCCATGTTTTCTTTGTAATAATGAACCAAGTCGAGCCTGACTTTATCTTTCTCTTCCTTGTTCGCATTCGGGTTGATTATGCGAAGTGCTTCATTCAGAACATTCGCCATGTTTATCAACTGTGTCCTGAGTTGGTCACTAGGCATACTCTGGAGGACAGGGCCGTCTCTTGTATCTTCACGAGGAGATTCCGAAAGGTCCATACCGAAATGAACACATCCAGCACCATGATCAATGCGAATCTGAACCAAAATTATTTGATGCGCGATTTGTGTCAAACAATAAAATAATTGGCAACAATACCTGCATATCATTGTGTCGTACACAGTCAACAAGTAGCCGCTCCAAGTGAAAAGGTGTCGTGAAAACTGCAAGTTCAAGAAGACGTTTGAAATCGATTGTCTGATAGACTTGAGATACTTGTCTTATGAGCTTGACAAGTGTCACATCTTGTAGCGGAGCGATGTACTGTTCATCTTGAGTAAGCTCCATGGTCACTGCTTTCACTCTCTTACAGAGTGTGAGAGGATTGAATTCCACTTCAAGGCATTGGTACAACTCCTGGAGCTGCGGAGATGCCAACTGGACGACGTTCATCCTCACCTATTATTTTGTAGAAATTATGAATTCCTTTAGAAACCGAATAGAAAAAAATAAACTTACAAGATCACGAATCAAAGATGCCCTCGTGGGTGGCTGCTGCAGTGTCAGGAGTACTGCAAGCCTTTGCGCTTTCTCCAACGGGGACTTGTCCGTTTCAATGAATCTATCGAACTCCGGATGGGCTGATGGAAGCGGGATGGACAGTGTCGCCAACAGGACACAGCATGCCATCCTACAATATTTGGATTGAAATCGGTTTTTATATTAAATTATACCACCACACACCTCTGAAGTTCGTCCGGAGTGATATTCTTTTTCATGTCTTTGTTCAGTTGGAAAAGTTTAAATAAAGCGGCAGCATGGAAAAGATAGTAGCCAGCCTTCCAGAACACCATAGCCAACTTCTGGTAATAGTTAGCCATTGTTTTAGTCACTGGTGGCTTCTTGGAAAGGTTCATCAAACCATGTATATCTTCTATTGCCTTGTATGCTTCCTACAATTTAAATTTAAATTATTAAGCCTCCAATGACCAACAAATCAATATTTGCCTTCAATTGTTAAAAGTTTAAATATCATCAGATCAATAATTATGAAATCTAAAACATATAAGCTACTTATTTTAAGACAAACAAATAAACATATCCAAATTAGAGAATTAACACTGAATTATAAACTTAAGAAATCATTGAAATGATTAAAAGTTATTTATTTATAGAAAATTCTATACCTGCCATAATTCCATTTGTATAGCTGAATCCAGCTGGACAAGCCTTGTTTCCAAATTATACTGCTGCGTTTCTGCTTTGTTCAGAGAAACGTTGGCAACTTGAGTAGGAAGTTTACTAATATCTTCTAAATGTTTCCTAAGTTTATCACAAAGTTTGCGAAATTCTGTTTTCCTATTGTATTTCAGGCAGAAGTTAAAGGCCTGGAGAAGAGGGGAAAATCCGATTATTTCGAGATTAACATGAGGATTTTGGAGAAACAGTTGTTAACAAACCATGCGAGCGATGTCGTGGTAAAGGGTTTCACAATGAGCATTAGTCCTCAAAAGCTCGAGGCACTGACAGTAAGATTCCCACAAGAATTTCACCCATGGAGTTAAGATGGTCCTATCACTTCTATCATGTGCGTCTTCACCGCTCACAGCTCTACATGTTGAATAAAATTGTTAAAACAAATTTGAAAAATATTGTTTTTTATTTAGTTGTTTTCTCTTTTTATTTTCTGGAAGTGGCGAGGATAATGAATTGAACAATCTTTTTTCTTTTCTATTCCTTTTATTTGTACAATATATAGCCTTATAAACTCCACAAAGCCAGGAAGAAAAGAACTGGGAAAATTGCATGAAATGCATTGCACTATCCTCACTACTTCCAGATTTTTTATTTTATTTTATTTTTTTTTATACCTGAGCAAAAGGCTCTCTGGGGTTGCTACATTATCCAAGTCATCAATATCTATCACTGCTTGGTGTGACTGTTCCCTGGCAGATTCAGTCTTCTCCTCAGCCATCCTTAAATAGCCTCTGATCACATTTTCCAATGAGCCGACATTCACCGATTGGAACATGTTCCTGTATTGAAACAAGCCTTCCTTCGCGATGAGGGACTTCTTGAGTTCGACACAGAGGTCCAAATATTTGAACATGATCGGCTCCAAGAGGCTCTCGCTCCAGTTGTAGGCCCATTTTTTATTTCGAAATACTTCATAAAGAGTATCGAGTGCTCTGGCAGGCTTGCCGACATCAATAAACTCTAAAACAATCAACTTTTTTTTATTAAACATTTATATTTCATTTATCAAAAAATAATATTACATTACATATACAACTATACAATCATAAATACAAATTGGCTATTTTTAAGTTATTTTAATGGACCGCAAGGTAATTATTATTACGATTATCTTCAAAAAAAAGAATAATAAATTTAACTAATAACAAAATGATACTGCTGCAATTTGATTAGATGTATAAATTATTGATTGTAGATATTGTATGAGAACTATACTTTCCTTAAATATCAGTGCTCTAATCAAATTTATTTTGCATGTGCAGAATTGTATTAATTATCAAAGAATTATGTCAATGTGAAAAAAGTTAACAACACTATTGCAACTGTAAAGCTGATTTCTTAAAATTCAAATGAAGGTTCAAGAGGACGTGATATAAAAACATGGATAAGCACTAGAAAAAAAAGTATCTTGTAGATAGAAAGATAGAAAACCAATTAATTTGTTCAAAAGATTTGTATTACAAATTTTTCTAACACTATAATTAAGGATGAACTAGATTATCGACCTGCTGGATACAAGAAGTCTTTTCAGAGGATCTTCGGAAGAGGTCAAAACAGAAAAAACTTCCTTACAGTTTTCGCATAACCAGTATAAAACTGTCGAAAGCCGTAAGGAAGTTTTCTCTGTTTTGACCTCTTCTGAAGATCCTCTGAAAAGACTACTATAATTAAGGTTCAAACCAGAGGTCAGACCATTCTATTTAGCAATATGTAATCTTTTCAACCTACCTAATGCCAAAAATGTACAAAACTTTACTTGTATGGTTTGTTTTTATTTTCTACAAGATACTATAACACGCTCTACAATACTGCCGTAGACTACAACTGATCCAAAGTGAATACAGTTCAACCGCTCAGAAACAGGTTAAAAGAAAATATAAGTAATTATTAATTTTTGAGAGGCTATCAGTAGGACTCTCTATGACAGTATCCTGTTGATTTTGGGTTGATGAGTGATGAGATTCAGTTTCAATTCAGAGTACAAGCAATTTATTAAAATAATTATGAATTTATTTAAAAGAAAATAGAAATGATTATTAATTTGAGTGACTGTCAGTCCAATTAAGGACACTGCACTATGATCCAAAAGGATTTTATATGATAAGATGTTTAAACTATTGAAATAAGCATCTTGAAAAAGAATGAAAAATTACGTAATATAGAGGAAAAACTTCAGTGATTTTTCTACTACTGTAATTTTAAATCTTGAGCAATTTTTATTGAGCAATAAGTAGACTTCAGCTTAAGAGTAAATGCCAAAAATTTATAAAAGATTATTTGTGTCTAGGATTTTTCTATACTCTCTGTAGAGCTACCATAGAGCCCACCTTACCCTACATTGCCAATTGATCAAAATTTGTACTGGATGAGTGAATACAGTCGTTATTAAAAAAAAAAAAAAAAAAAATTAGAAAGCTCAATGTAGAATCAGGTTAAAAGAAAATTGAAGTGAGATGATTATTAGTTTGACTGGCAGTCTAGAAACTGTAATATCCAACTCTTTTTTTACTGATTTTGAGTTTCAATGCTTAGTGCAGACAATTGATTTTAAGAAAACTAAATTTGTAATTTATCTGAAAAAAAAAAAGTTTGAGCGGCTGTCAGTCATATTACAGACACTGCAATATGATCCAAAAGAATTTTATATGATAAGATGCATCAACTATTGAAATAAACATCTTGAAATAGAGAGAAAAATTCAGTACTTTAACGAAAAACAACTGATTTGTCAATCACACAAATTAAGTTTATATCTGGAGCACAGACAATTCTTTTGAACAGATAGATTTGAAGAAGTGGTCGTCAACATATTAAATGTCAAAAATATATACAAGATTATTTGTGTGTAGGTAGTAGTACTGAAGAGCTCACGTTTTCATTTTGGCTATTCATTATGGATTGATTAATTTTGGGATTATTGGGATTAACTTTCCATTAAGATTGTGGACAATCGATTTGAAAAACTAGAAAACTCATTTAAAGTTTGTGAAAAATAGAGTAAAAGTGATTATTAGTGTGTGGTGTTTAAGTGACCATTAGTTAATGATTATTGGAGATCGTGAGATGCAGTCTGGTGTGACATAGGTTTAGAAAAACATTTTCTTTATCGTGCCAACGTTTCGATCTTTATTGAGATCATCTTCAGGGCCTAGCATTTATAAACATTGTTTAAATTATACAAATACATGTAGGATGTGAAAAAATGAATTTATACAATGCTAGAAATTTTAGAATCAAAGCATTTGTACTCACTCAAAATGTTGACTTCAATTGAGGCTAAAATTTCTAACACTGTATAAATTCATTTTTTCACATCCTACATGTATTTGTATAATTTGAAGAATGTTTATAAATCCCAGGCCCTGAAGATGATCTCAATGAAGATCGAAATGTTGACACGATAAAGAAAATGTTTTTATAAACCTACATCACACCAGACCACATCTCACGATCTTCAAATAGTGATTATTAGTTTGAGTGGCTATCAGTCAAATCAATATCACGAGGATTTGATATGATAATATGCTTAAGCAACTGAATTAAGCATCTTGATAAAAGTAATTAGTAATTTAGAGAAAAACTTCACAGATTTGCCTTCTGCCCTTGTTAAGTATCAGTCTGGAGCACAGAGCTTCTATTGAGTAATAAGTAGCCCTCAACACCTTAAACTTAAAAAATTATAAAACATTGTGAGCAGGTTTCTTTATTCTTCAGTAATAGTACGAAGTACACCTTACCACCTACTGATTTTGGATTGATTTTGGGATTGTTGAAATTCAGTTTTATTCAAGATCGCTGACAATTGATTTAAAATACTAGAGAAAGTCAATTTGACATTTGTGTAAAAGAAAATAGAAGTGATTATTCGTGGGGTGAATGTTAATCAACTTAATGACATTGCAGTATGATCCAAGAAGAATGTTTTAAACTGGAGCAAAGGCCATTCTATTGAGCAATTTGACTTTACAGCATGTTAAATGTCATAAATGTATGAAATATGAGATAATAAATGAACAATTATATTTTAAATTAGGGTTAAAAATCGCTCAAAGGAGTTTTTCAGTTTGGATGGATGTCAGCCCAGAAAGGCATTTCAGTTAGTAAGATAAATCAACTATTGAAATAAGCATATTGTAAAAGAAAGGAAAATAAAGAAATTTCACAGATTTTGGCTACTGGCCAAATTATGTATCAATAAGGAGCACCGAGCTTCTATTGAGCAATAAGTAGCCTTCAATTATTCAATTTCAATAACTTATAAAACTAATCCATACTTGCTTGGTAGTCATAATACCAATTAATTATCCTTTTTATCTAAGGTTTTTGGTTGAGATGAAAAATTAGTGTCACAAGCAGGATTCGAACCCACGACCTTCGGCTCAATTCATCACTGCTCTAATCACCCGAGCTATCGTAACTTCTATCCACTCTGACACCAACGCCCCATCTCAACCCACAACCTTTCGAATTTTCCCTCTTCAAATAGTTTTCAAATATGGAAAAAAGAAGGTAAATTCAAATGGTTTTAAGTTGAGATGAGGAGTTGGTGTCTAAGGAGATTGATGTCACGATAGCTCAGGTGGTCTAAGCAGCGGCGTATTGAGCTGAAGGTCTTGGGTTCGAATCTCACTCGTGCCACTAATTTTTCATCTCAATCAAAAACTATAAACAAAAAGAATAATAAACTGGAATTTATAAAACATTGTGTGAAGGTTTTTTTAACATCTCTACAGTATTAGCACCTACTGATTTTCAGTTGATTTTGGGATTGTTGAAATTGAGTTTCAATTTCAATTTCTTCAGTCAAGATCGCTGACAATTGATTAAAACACTAGAGAAACTCAACATTTCTATCAAAGAAAATAGAAGTGATTATTAGTTTGAGAGAATGTCAATCAAATTAATGGCACTGCAGTATGGTCCAAGAAAAATGTTTAATCTGGAGCATAGGCCATTCTATTGAGCAATTTGACTTAACAGCATGTTAAATGTCATAAACCTATAAAATATGAGATAATAAATGAACAATTTTGTTTTAAATTAAGGTTAAAAGTCGTACAAAGGAGCTTTTCAGCTTTTTTTCCCAGTTGTCCAGTAAGGGTACTTCATTATGTTTCAAGTTATCGACCAATGCCGATCTACTTTCATCATATAAATTTGTCAAAAAGAGGAAGATTTAAAGGGATTTAAGTTAATAAAACCAGAAAAAAAAATTATTTTAACTTTTTTCTAAATAACGACCCCCCCACAGTCAAGATTACGATTACAGGGAGGTTAATGGGTTCGGAAAGTTGTCAACCTTATCGGGGAAGGAACGTCAAAATAGAATTCTGTTATCGGGGATGATCACAGTTGCAGCGAAATTTGCCGGGGGCGGATCTGCGCGGAGCCGGGGGGCGGCAAACCCCTCGAAAACCACTTTGTCCCGTCCGGGCGACACGTGAGCCGTCTGTCACTTACCGTTGGCCCTTTTCAGGGCATTTTCCGGCCTCTGGCTGTATCTGGCCATTGTCCGAGATGCGCCTCTTCAAACCGATTTGGCCGTTGGATGGGCGGAAGAGCTCGAGCCTGGTCACCGTTAAAAAAACAACGGAAAACTATCCGAAGAAAACCGGACAGAAAGCCACGAGTCCGATGGACACCAATGGTACGGAAGTGGATTTCCAATATGGCCGCGCCTCTCTAACCAAATGCACTACGAACATCTCATTTCCGTCCAACCTAATCGAGATTTTAACTCGTACCAAATACGCAAAAAAGAAAAAAAGACACCGCTTTAAATTAAACTTTAAGAATTAGCAGACGGATTTATTATTATTTCTTATAAAAACTGAAAAACCGACACGTCGTTGTAGTATTTTCCCGCTGGATTCAATTATGCCGCAAACCACTTTCGTTGGTTCATGATGAACAATAGAATAGAATCTTTATTCAAAATACACTGATGGACAAAACTAACGCACCTCCCTTAAATTTGACTGTATTTAAGTTATTCGTATTTTGCATACAAAAAATATGTTTGGTTGTAAAAATAAAACATTTTAAAATAAAATGTTATTACCTAATTATGGATCCCTGGGCACTTGGGGCATAGAGGCAGCGAAAAGGTTGACATATTGGCCAAAGAGGGGGCCAACATGGGAACTCTCTGGGTCTTGAACCCTACTGTGGCTTAGCATACTGCCACGAAAAAGGATTCATCTTAAAATGGATCCTTAATGAGTGCAAAACCTGGTGAAACCACAGGCATGAAGCTCGCTAAGAGATTCATAGAAGGGCCATCCATAAAACTTATAAAATAATTATTGGAATGTAACTGCAACTGAACCAGGATTCTGGTTGTACTCTTGACAGATCAATGCCACTTAAGAAAGCACATGTACCGAATAGGAGTACAGAAGAAATACTGCCTGGAAGATGAAAGACCGCACACACAGGAGTACATTTTATGATTCTGTGAAGGTCAATGTAGGTGCAACTAGGACAGGAAAAACCGCAAGCAAGATCCTACACTAAGAAGTCACTGGCAAAGCTATGAAGGCTGTTAATAACAACCTGAAGCTTAAAAAACAGGGGAGCAGAATAGAAGTGTACAAGGCCTTGTGACCACCTCTTTATCCCCATCCCTATTATCTAATTCTTAAAAATAAAAAAAAAATAAAAAAATCCTCCTGAAACACATATCCAACAAAAATAAAGTCATGATGGCAAATATCTTTTTGGGTCACCTTTGAATAACCCTAATTATTGCATAAACCGTATAAAAATTTTGAGATTTGTTTGTCATTTTGTAATTTTTTTTTTCATCCAAAATTATCAAAAACAAACACACTATAATATATAAATTCTTTATATTCATCCCTAATAATCTATTTCACAACCTACAAAATAAATTAATATCGACAACAACAAAATCTTAAACCGATCAGATCAGTAAACTTTTCAATTATGTTGGATCACCAGTGTTTAATTAAATGAGCTCATTAGCGATCACTGAATATCTATTTTATTATTGGCAGAGATGAAATTACAGTTTTCATGTAATACACCAAAATAAATATACAATACATAATATACAATAAAATAATAACAGAAAAAATATTTCATTTGTATATTTTTTTATTTAGGTATTGTTCTCAATTCTCGTATTCACAAATTTTAAAAATTGGGTGTTGTAATGAAATAAGAAATAGGAGGAAAATATTCTTTACCACAAATGGCCAATTGCCGGGCAATACTACTACAGGTGGCATGTGGGTTTGGCCCTAAAGGGACAATACGAACCAGGAAGAGTGTTAAGACAATTCAACATAAATTCACTCTCTTGACTTAACAAATGTCAGTTAAAAAAAGTAACATCAGCCAAACACATCTTTCCATCACCTAGTAGGTCGAGTTTGGGCAAAGAAACAGCACTTCTGGGCTATTTATATGACTCCCTCCAGCCAACAATGACCACCTTTTCAATGAAAGTAAATTCATATTTTATAACATATTAATAAGAGGACTGTTGCTACCCTCCCACCATTTTTAGATATAATTTGTATAATCGTAAATAAATAAGCTATTATCCAAATTGTTAATGTCCATCCCCAAACATTCAATTCTCCTTATTTTTATACACTGTCTAACAATTTCCTTATATTGAGTGGTAATATGTTGAAAAGTCCTAAGATGAATAGATCAGGATTATTAGAATATATTATGGTTGGATTTTTTATAATATGATATAACTAGATTGTTGTTACTGTTCCAGGTACTATATATAAATTTATATGGGTATTTTCATGAAGTACCGACATGACTTTCAATTTTAAATGATCTCTCGTTTCTGCTCCAAAAATTAGTCTTAATTCTCTTTCTTGTATAATTAGAATTTTTTCCATAATAATGTTCATCTTCTTAAAACTATACACCATCCCTAACCATGCCAATTTAACTTTCTGACGATAGTTAAACCTGTAAATTGTGCACATTTATCTAGTCTTTTTAAGTTGAATGTAATTTTTTATTAACATTTAGAAATGAGAATTGGAATTAAAATAATTGTACATATATAATTATCATCCAATATTTCTATAAATAAATGCTTATCACAATTGGTCACAAGGCATATCATCAGCAAATTGGTAGAGTCTAACGTTATTAAAGCTATCAATTTAACAAAAATCCAGGCCATTCATATAAACAACAAACAATATCCCAGAGCCCAGAGTCGATCCTTGCGATACTCTACATAACACATTTTCTCAACAAGAAAAGTTGTCATTTATTTGCACTATTTGTTTTTTGTCTAGGAGAAAACTGCGACGAAATCCTGGCTATACCTCTTTTTTGTTATTTTCAAGATAGTTATAAATATTACGCTTGCGTTGTCAAGTGCTGACGTGCTACAGTACAAACTAGCATCAGATGAATGCTTATCAGCACGATAACAGACGCCAGGCAGCGCGATTTGCCGGATTCCTTATCGGCCAATTGACATCAATGTGGTCCAGTTGACTCAAATATCAAAAACAATGACTTGTTTACTTGCCTATAACATAATTGGTAAGTCTTTTGTCTGGTCATTTGTGAATATTAACTAATCTGGAAGAATTTGAATATAAGAAACTTACTATTTGAATTTTTACTCTAATATTTCTTAATGTCTTGTATAAAAATACTTTCAGAGAAGGGTAACGATGGAGATGTTCTTTGGTCATGGGCCTTCCCCAGCTTAAAAGATGAACAGAGGAAATACATAGAGGATAAGTGTCATTTGAGCGATCTGAAATTTTCGCTTTACGGCAAGTTCAAGAACTGGTTTTACATCCATGTTACGGAATGCAATCAGGCGATCCTGCCGAATGTAAGCTATTAGCAATAAGCATCAACGTTCTGTACATGCAGCCTTGATTTCAGATTGAGAACATCGGCATTGTAGTTTGGGCGAAGGATTTCAAGCCAGATCAGTACCTGAAACTTGCGTCTTTGTTAAGCAGGGTCTATAACGAATCAGGTAATTCTAACTTCTATAACAGGGGCCGTGGTAGCTGAGTGGTTAAGGCGTCAGACTCCCAGCTAGTAGATCCCGCAGTCGTGGGTTCGATCCCCACCTTCGCCTCCGGACTTTTTCTGATGCCTAAGAGGACCGGTGGCCGTAATTGAAAGAAATTGACACAGCACTCATCAATGGAAGGAGAGGGATCAGATCTCAGCGACCCTGAATTTGGTCCCAACCCCCTTCACAAATGAGTTTCTTCAATGGAAGAACACTGGCACACCGTGGGCTCAAATTCACACTTATATTGCGAGCCCCCCAAAAAATGAAGCCAGGGATAAAGTACAATAAGCTGTACAGCTGCAGTGCTCAGGAGGGAACTCCTCCAGTTCCTGGTATCCATTGAAAAAAAAAAAAACTCTATAACACAGCACATAAAGAAACTTATTTGATCGGATTGTCTCTGACAAAAACTGTATCTTTAGAATGAAGGTTGGGTGAGTATTTAAAAGAGATTAAAGAAGATCTTTTAGAAAGGTTAAAATTAGATCCTGTACAGTAACGCCAGTACATCGAGCCATTGTCTGTCACCAAATGACCCTAAACCACCAATGGTCTACCAGTTATTCATTTTCAATGCCCTCGTTCCCAGAACTTCTTTTGTGCAGTGCACTTACTTATTGTTTCATACTGAATGCAGTGCAAATTTTACGAGCTGCCTTGGTTGCCCAAGTGCCTAAATTCATACAATAAGCTTGCACAAATTATGGCTTCTGAAGCCACGATAGAGAAAATATTTTACAATTTACGGTGAACTATTCAAAACACTTTTTCTTAATGAACTAACGCATTATTATGTTGATATTACATTATGTAAACACCTAATTCTCCTATGTAAGAAGAAAAAGGAATTGTAAAAAATTTTTTACTTTTTTTTCAGTTATTGTTTCAGTTTATTCCCTATAAGATCGACCTAATTATATTAGCATGCGCTCATCACTGTAAAGCTGGGTTTCCATTGCGCGAAAAAAAATCTCTCGCAATTAAATGTGAATTACTCGTGAAACACTGTCTCAGGTGTCATTTCCACGATGCAAAACAAAGTGAGCCATCAGTTTGATCGTAACAAGCATGCCGTTTATAATTACACCAACTGCTGCGCCAGAGTTTGCTATCATGGCGATACTTTTTGTCTTTGTTCCATTTTGATGCTCATTTCCTTTGTTCTTGTTATGATTTTTATCTCTAGCATCCCACAAAAGTCAGTCATACGTTTGGATAAGTTGAATGCAGTCCTTCTAGTTCATTCTCATACGCAAGCCAAGTGCGTTTCACACAGAGAAACGCTAAAAAACTGACAGCTGGTTGGCTCACCCTTAAATATCCTAGGTATAGGAAATATAGCTAGGTATACACATCATGGGACATGTTTTGCGAGTGATTTTTGCTCAGTATAAAGCATGGTTAAGGTAAAGGTCCTATGTTCGAATCCAGCAGCCCCCTTTCCCCCCCCCCAAAAAAAAATGTAACCTGGGGTTTGAAATGACCTCTGCTGTTGTGAACTCCCATTAAAAAAATAATAAAAATGAATATTTTGTTCAAGTCGTGAGGAGAGGTCAAGAATGAGGCAGTTTGGAAAAACACCTTTTTCATTTCTTTGTCGATGTTTCGACCTTTATTCGGGTCATCTTCAGGGTTGTTGATAACACTTAAACACCAATATGATACCACAAGAATAGCACCACACTTTATGACCTGAAGATGGCCCGAATAAAGGTTGAATGTCCGCAAAAAAATGAAAAAAAGTTTTTCCAAACTACCTCATTATTGACCGCTCCTCATGGCTTCAACAAATTATGAAAAAACAGGTCACTAAGAAACACATAAATAAATCTGTTAGCATGTAAAATTGAATTCTGGAATTGCAGGTGATCCGACTAAAGTGCTTCAATTTTATTTAAGTGTGGTGACAAAAGACATCACTCCAAACAATAATGGGTCACTGTTATTTAAAGAATTTTGTTCCCAGAAAACTTCTAAGTCTTCAAGAATCAAAGGTCTGTTTTATTACAGCAAGTTTTGCTTCTGTCATTAATTATTTTAATTTTTCAGAGCTTATTAAAATGTTTGGTTTAGAAGTAATTTTGATTTACAATACTCTTTTACTTGAGAAAAGGCTGATCGTTTACCACCATTCACTCCCAGTATTGTTGGAGGTAGAATAAAACCAATTTTTCAATTTCTGTGAACAAGTTTTGTTATTTATCATTGATATCTCTCAGTGGTTGAAGTCATTCCCTTATTTTATCGCACATCGTAAAATAGATGACCACTTGATCCCTTGGTTTGAAGTAAATGATCAAGACATTTCAGAACTAAGGGTAATAACTCAGAAATTGAAAAATTATAAATCCCCCATGTGAAAGTAAATTCAGTTTAATTTTACAGTCTCGGAGAAATTACATCGCTGGGTGTTGTGATAACTCAGTATTCTTGAGGAGTGATCTTTATGATGTACTTGTCAATTTGCCGGCTAAGGAAATCACAATCTCCCCTCAATCAAAAGGTACAATTTGAAATATTAAAAAATATATATATCTTAAATCTTAAACCATACTTTTTTTTTTTTTATAGATAAATTACCCGTGACAAAAACCCATAAAGATATTGCTCTTTTCATGGAGCAGTTAGCAGATAGTGAAATGGATGAGGAGAAGGTTGTTAGTTCGATAACAGCTAAAACTAAGGAGCTTATTAGTCTTATCAGGTATTCACTTTTTTCTTTTTTTTTCTATGGATCAACAATTAAAAACAACAATAATTAACTTGCAGATCCATGTCTGTCAAAGGTGAAGACATGAGGGATTACATTTCACTTGAAAAGATCAAAGAAAGGAACTTTTCTCCTGTAATGGAAAATTTCATAGTCCAACTAGCTTCCACAGAGAATATTTATTTTTCAAACAATTGAAATAAAACATTTGTACAACTCATATTGTAAATTAAATTCTCACTATTTATAATATATTATATATTAATACTCTTTCAATATATACAATTATTTCCATATTTACAATTTTTACATATTTAAAAAATCTTAACCCAAACACAACCTAAGAAATATTGCCAATTATGAAAATTCCGTATAAATCTCGTCCCCTGAAATCTCTTCCTCTTTGATCACAGTGGTATCAGTCTCTAGGTCATTAAACCTTTCCAACTAAAACATAAACAGATAAGTAAATATTGGGTGGAATGATAAAAACAGCACTGGGTAAAATAAAGCAACAGACCAGAGGTTCATTTCTTCTGAAGAGAAGCTTAACGTCATCAGTTGTTATTACTGATCGACCAGCATGGCTGGAAAAGGAAAAAATACATTGTTAAATAATAATAGCATAGTTTTTACACTTCAATTACTTGTTGAGAATATTATTTTTTATTACGGGGTGAGTGATGAGAGAAAGTGAAACAAACTAAATACAATAATTATATATTATATCTTCCCTTTTTCTCGGAGAAACTCAGAAGAATAAAGAACAACTTTCTATTATTAACAAGATTTGATAAATAAAAATAAACATAAAAGGTAATTCAATATGACATTAAAAATCGTTAAAAAATAAATAAATGAAATCTACAGAGTGAACATTAGGCTGATTTCAAATCGTTTTTCTAAAGATTTTACCGGCAAATTGTAGTTCTATTTTTTTCTTTGATGAAGCAATAAATTTGATTAAAAAAGTATTTTAAATCGTGAAGACCTCATTCAAGTTAGTGGTAGATCACGATGTACAATGGCTAGAGAAAATTGTGTTACTGCTCTTGCCAAACTACGGAACCGTCATTTAATGGCTTCCTTGATAACGGTACGATAGCTCTAAAACAGTCATCAGAACGCTTCCTGAGAATTGCCTTGTCTGTCTCACTTCAAGTTCTCTACTACTGGAACGGTATCGAGTAGAAATATACCGGGGACCGTGGAAAAGACATTGAGAATAGCTAATTTTACACTTATGTTGAGGTGAGCAGTCCCAGAAGAAAAGTCCAAATGCTTCGTTCAAAACATTTATTGACAACGTTTTGGACGTCTCACATCCTTCATCAGATACATAATCATTTTTTTTGTGTCAGTAACACCCTTTCCGGCGTCCCAGACCAATAGCAATTTAGAGTTTTTCTTTGGAAAAAGAATGATTATGTACCTGATGAAGGACGTGAGACGTCCAAAACATTGTCAATAAATGTTTTGAATGAAGCATTTGGACTTTTCTTCTGGGGCCACTCACCTCAACATAAGTTTAAAATTAGCAATTCATTATTCAATGGCTGACTAAAACAAGGACATTAAGAATACTTTGCTTCATGTGAGACACAACCTTTTCAAAGACAGCCAGTTATAGTATGGTATTATCAAACAGATCTTTCACTGCACTAAGGTACATTGAGGAAGTCTTCTGGAAGCTGTGGTCCCTTTCGCTTCACTTATTAGGGAAAACTTAGTGATAATGCTAGACCGCATGTAGTTCAAATTGTCACTTAGAGGGTGTAGGAATTACCACAATGAATTGGCCAGCATGTTTTCCTTTATGGATGACTTATGAGGTATGATAAAGAGATGGTTAGGCATCGTTCACATACTACAGTAAGCTTTGAACAACTTCAAACTGCTCTTGCTGAACAATGTGATTCTGTTTCACAAGAAGAAACCCAGTCGGACTCGATGTTTAGGAGACTTCAGGCCCTCCAGGAAGTAATATGTGTTATTAAGAGCAATACAAGGTAATAAATTGTAAATATAAATTTTGCCACTAAATGATTTTTTATTTTGGTGAATTTTCTTTCAAACCATCATAATTACATATTTTTTTAGTAAAACCCATGAATTTCTGATCTTGTTTAATTTGGTTTATATTAAAATAAGTATGTTGCAATTAATACAATGATAATAATTCATAGTGTGTGGCATTTGGTGATCGTTAATCGATGATTATTTAGAGATCATGAGATGGTGGTGACCAGACTGCATCTCACGATCTCTAAATAATCAATATATACAGTTGAAATAAATAGGAAAAAAAATGAATGTCTGTTTTTTTTTTTTGTCATTTCTGTATATTCCCAAAATGTCGGATTGGAATGAGTTCATCTTTCTCTAACCATGACCACTCCGTCCCAGATATAAACTAATATATATATAATATTTATTTATCACCTAGTATTAATTATGTGAATCATTGGTCAATTTTAATTTCAAGATATTTTCATTTTAAATTTAACAGTAACAAATTTTAAATTTCAGATAATCTATACTTTTGAAAAGAATTTAAAGCACAGTTAATAGAGTAAACAGGCTGTACATTATTTCAGTTTTTGGCTTTACTTTTTGTTCTATATTCTTGAATTAAATCATTCATTTATTATTATTTTTACTTATTCATTGACATGCGGCAGATGGAATTTTCCATGCTTTATGGTGCTTACATTATATTGTTAAATTATAATTTTAAATATTTGAATTGAAACAAATAAAGTACCATTATTATTAAGAGAGTAAAAGTAATTAGTTCTTACTTTGCAAATGCTTCTACATCCTCAGCGTAATTTTCCATCTTTTTCCATATAAATTCTGCCATTAACTCTTTGGCATCATCAGACACTGTGAATTTTCCAAACAGACTGTTGTCGCTCGAGAGGTCGGTACAAGCTTCATTAATTGCCATGAGTGTCATCAGTCTGACGTTCTGAAAAGAAAACTGCCATTGTAAGAACAGACATGCAAAGCAAATCACATTTATTTACATTTTCTGCAACTGACATCCGTTTCATTTTTGGCCTATCATCAGGAGCAGGATAGGTTATTCTTTTTGGAGGCACGATGTTCCTCTTCGGCAGAATTTTCCTCTCGACTGAAGGTTTAGGTTTCTCTTCCTTACAGTAACTATAATCAGTGCTGGTAGGTTGGGCAGCCAAAGCCCTTTTTCTGTTTCCCAGAGGGAGCGAAGCATGAGGTGGATGGTGATGAGTGCCCGTCAACTCAAGGATGGCTTTGTCATCAGGGGCCATGAATAAGTATGCACGGCATAGCTTCTTTGTACAGGCATACCTTATTCCGTTCTTCGACATGGCACTTCTGCAGTATTTGTAATCATCTACGACAACCAGCCTACGTCCTCGCTGGCTCATCATAAATGTGAACTCCTTATTCAAACCAAAACTCGGACTAGGGCTATGTTCCAAAAGAGAAAAAGTTTATTGAACTATATCACTACCCTGGTAAATACAAATAAATACCTTTCTTCTGACATGATCAGAGTATTTCTCCTTTAAATAAAAACAATTGAAACGATTTAGTTAAAAACCAAATCACTTTCTGCCATTAAATGACTGGGATCAATTTTTTTTTTAATAATAAATTTTAACTTTTCTTCTTTGCTTAGAAATTCTAGACTTTAGATTATCTTCCTTTTATAAAATACAATCTGTATAATTGTAACATACAGACCTAAAACAAAAACATGCATAATCATTTTTCTCGTACTAATTATCACTTATCATATTTAATAAATAAGTAGGCTTGACAGTTACATGTCACGACGAGGGGTCAAACCACTTTACAAAACATTTTTCATGCCATTATCTACCAAAAAGTCATGGGTTCTGCCATGATTCGAACCCAGTACGCTAACATGGTGAACACGAGTTGGACACCATAACCACTCTGCGCAAAATACCGCGGTACCCTTCACTTATCGTCCTATTATATTTATGATAAATAACAGATTATTTTAAATGAAAAGTCTGCTTTTACATTGTATCCCTAAAAGGAATAAGTTACCATTTCATACAATTCATTCCTCAGTATATCAATAAACCATTTTTCTACACTATCGATACTATATACGGATAATATATATTAAAAGTAATTCTTTTAAAGCAGAGGTATGGTATCAAGTTTGACCAGTCATTCGGCATGTTTGAGGTATGGGAATCAATGATTTGGTCAATAGTTTAAATCTCAATAAAAATCCATTATGTTTAGTGGTCTATTGACCAAATTAATTTATTCTATTTCTTTTCAACCAAGACCTTACATAAAAAGAATAATTACTTGATAAAAATGGTTACAAATCTTAATTTTATGGCATCTTATCATATCCATACATCAATCGATGTAAAACTCATGTCAAAAATGCTCCAAAATCAAAAATGGCTATTTGAACAGTCCTGATCTTATGCACATCTGGAATTTCCAAACCAATCAAAACATTAAAGCTCCAATAAGTTTCTAAATAAAATTAACACTAAACTTCATGCCCTCTTGAAAAATCAAGTGAATTATAGGTAGGATGTCCTACTTTCTGGTTTGTTCACATTAACATGTCAATGGTTTTAGTATTAGAAGTACCGACCGAATTTGTGAATATTATGGGTCAAGGTATGGCTTTGAAGAAGAAACCAAATTTAGTTGCTTCTGCCATGCTTTCAACCTATTTTAAGGTCATCATCAGGGCAAAACAACCTTAACCGTCTATAGATTGACGGATTTAAGTTGTTTACAGAATATATTACAGAAAATAACAAAAATGACCATAGACCTCTTAACTTAAACCAGTGCTGATGGTCAATATGATCAATGTACTTAGGACCTGTCAGTAAATCTCTGGTCAATAAATAGTACAGTATTGGTCACTAAGATTTCATATCAAAGCTGGCCAACTAAACAGAACTACAAACTTTCTACAAAGCGCAACTACTTTTTAAAAAAGGTATTTATTTATTACTCATTGTTGATATTGCGTTAGCTTATTAAAAAATGAACCTGTCATGATTTAAAAAAGTCAATATGGCTAGGACATGTCAATGAGATTTAAAACATGAGGGAATCATTAAGTTTTTAGAAAGTAAATGTTTTAAACACGGTTGAATAGTATGAATAAAATTACTAACATGAAGGCATCTTCATCTGAGTTTAGTTGGGGACTGGCCAGCTTGCATTTTAACGAAAGCGTTGACAATAAACAATAACATCTTGATAAAGAAAATCAAGCCAATACAGATAGGAACTGTAATCTTCATCTCAACAAACTCTAAAACTTGTCAATGACGATCAATGACATTATTGATAATTAAATACTAACCTCTTGATAAAAAGTCAATTTAAACTTTAACAGACCAGATAAAAATGATCGGTTATGACCAGAGATTTGAGGTAGAATAGCCAGATTATCTAATCCAAATTATAAATTAAATTTTCACAATGCAGTCTCAATGAAAAAGCATTCTTTCTTTAAACTATTAAATCTTATGTTTCCTGTATTTGAATAAATTTTTGCACGTTTAGGGTAAAACTGGTCAAATTTTGGCAAAATGAAATAATTGTTTATTCTAATATTATTCTAATTATCAAATCCAAACTGTAAATCAAATTTACACAATGCATTCTCAATGAAAAAGCATTTTTTTTAAACTATTAAATCTGTCATATTATATGTTTCCTGTTGAGTAAATTTTTGCACGCTTGGGGTAAAATGGTCAAATTTTGGCAAAATGAGATAATTGCTTATTCTAGTAAGTTTCAGGCTTGACAGAATCTATAATTGAAGTTTAAAAAAAAAGAAACGATTTTGTTTTAAACGTAATTTGCTCTTTAGTCATCTTGAGAAGTTACAACTTTTATTTTTTTAAATTCTACTAGTATATTTGTAAATTCAACTCATAAATCTATTTACTAAGACAGCTACATTGAGATCGATGAAATGTGAGTACAATAAAATAAAAAAAATTAAAACAATTGAATCTGTACCAAATGTCTAAACGATAAATTAGAAAGCCTGAAAAGTTTTTTGACTTATCCAGTTTTGACTCGATGGTTCAAATACGGCTATTCTTAAGACAATTCACAACATCAATAACATGAATAAAATACAGTAGACTATTCAGGAGATCTACCTGCCATACCAAGCAGCACCATGGATAATAGGAAACTCCTCAAATTTCAAGTTTCGAAGCATTTTCTTCTATATACATACTAATTAGACACTTTCTGTATCACATCTATCGTCATTGTTATGTACACATAAGTCAGGTTTTGGTTTTAAATAAGAAAAATGCAATGCACAATAGCGTACATAGTTATTCAGGAAACCCATTGTACATACATCAACTGGTATGCACCTATGCAAGGCATCACAACAATTGAGAAAAATTATTAAACGCCTAAAAACGATAAAAGTCAACAAAAGGGATGAATGAAAGAGTGGTTAACAGTTGTCTACTGTATGCAATTAAAGGCATCTTCAACAAATTCAGTAGTTGCTGGCCATACAAACAGCTTCTCAATGATTTGTCACTATTTCAACTTAGTTGACTGGAATGCATTGGTTAGTCAACATTTTAATCTATCACAGAAGTTTCCTAAAGTCAATATTGACTTCATATAAAATATGGCCTTATGAAAACAGCTCTAGAATATTCAAGGTGATAAATAAGCTGGTCAATGGCTGCAATCCGAACACAAACTTTAATAACTAAAAGTGAAATCAAGTTGAATAAATTAGACCTGTTTACACTTACATGAACTGTTAAAATCACAACTAACTTTTTACAATATGTGTGGATTCATGCTGAAGGTGATCAATAAGCTTGTTGAATCGCGTTCTGTCTCAATAAAAGTGACGCTTTACACAAATAAAAAGGTAAAACTGAAGGACATGACTATAAAAAGACAAGAATAATGTTGCTATTTAAATACACATTGTTTCGTTGTTCTTTCAATTGAATGTTCTTGTTAAACACGTTAAATAGTAATAGTTTCTTTTCAAACACAATACCAGAATACACATAAAGCAAAGAGCTTGTATTTATAGGCACCCAAAGGTCAATCTGGTTGATGATCACTTACCAGTCAATTGGCCCAGAAAGCAAGGCGCTATCGTCGGACCGTTCTTACGATATTTTTCGGTTCTGGACAACTCGTAAATGAAGAAGGTGTTGGGGGAAAAAGGACAACGGTCCGTTTTTAAAACAGCTCCGAACAAAATAAAACAGGAATGATAATGGATGAACTGGGGGAGGAACAGTGCATGGGTGGATGCCCCTTCTGGCCACCTACCAAAGTACCAACTACAAGTTATACCAGTCCCCACCACTGTCACCCGTCATCGATGTATCGCCGATTTTGGACAATTTGACTTCCTTCTCAAGTCTTAACTTCTTACTAACATTATACGACGATTTTGGACAATTTGACTTCCTTCTCAAGTTCTTAACTTCTTACTAACATTATAATAACTCCTGGCAACCACTTGTCTTTTTTGGCCATAGTTGATTTGGCAATGACATTTAAAGGCAAAATGAATCCATAAGTAATAAACTTGTACCAAAGGTTGTCCAAAATTGGTCCAAAATAATCATCAAAAAGTTCCATTAGGGATGGTTAGTTATTAGCATTTTTTGGTCTTATATATATATGTAATTAGTTATGACCATCTTGATAAAAATAATATGTACTACAGAACTTTTAACAATGATTATTCACAAAGAAGGATAAATTAGCACCCTCCATTCTTAACGCTATTAAAGATCAACAATATGTCTTCATCAAAGAAAAATCCACAACTACAAACCATCTTTTCCTGAACTTTATTTTAAACTTCTTGCTGAAAAGTGGCAAGTTGATGCCATCTACATTGAGGAGGAACTTGATGATCACCCACTTATTTATAGCCAAAGTAGCTGTTCATGATTTCTATGGCACTATTTTAAGTTCTCCTACTATCTTTCCAAGAACAATATATTAAGTTAAAAACCTAGTATTTTCTTTACCTATCATCCTCTGGAGTCCTCCAGGGATCACTTAGGCCCCTTACTATTTAACATCTTCATTAATGATATTGCATCTGCTCTAATGACACGCTTTCTCCTATTTGGAGATGACCTCAAAATATCCCACAGAATCCATTCTTTATCTGACGGTGTTTATTTACACTTCAAACTAATTAATCTGGGAAAGTGATGCATCATCAACTGCGCTGTTGGGCAAATTCAATACACCACTCAATTTATTTAGTTTAAAATTAAATCTATTATCTTTTTACTTTAGTTACAGGTAATTAGGAGCGATCATAGTGAAAACAAGCAGTAAATACTGCTTTCTTTCCTTACTTTGTTTACTTTTGTACTGATTGTCCCCAATTGCACAAAAAGTAGTACTATGCCCTTTGTAAAGATTGCTTTCAGTTAATATTTTTCCTTCATTGATTTCATTTGATATTATTCTTATTCTTAAACCTTTTTCAATGGCTCCAGTCAAGCATTCAAGTGAGTATGACAGTGTTAGGGTCATAACATTATTACAGAAAAGATACAGCCAGTACGAAGTCAAGGAAGGGTTCCTATGCACTTCAGAGAAACAGGGCTTCACACTAGAACGCCAGGACACAGTTGACCTAGACAAGAGAGAGACGCACCCACCTTTTCTTGCCACACCGCATAGGAACATGTGAATTGGATATTATTGGAAGATTGGAGACATCTTTACAGATGGGGGTGAGAGTTGGCCTCAAATCTTCAAATGAGCATAATTTCATATGGGGAGATTCAGGAGAAATGCTGCAAAGTTCTTCAGGTGGTTTTCCAAGGTGGTCATTGATGCTCTGGGGTAGCATTTCCTTAATCGCTAGAATCAGCGGAATCATGTTGAGAGCTTGGGGGCTGAATATTAAACAGTTAACTTGAAAATTCTTGTATGTTGAAATGGAGGTAGATTTGGGTCATTTCTGAGGCTTCCTTTTTTAGCTAGTCAACTGCAACATTTTTTCATATCCTACATGTATTTGTAAAATTTAAACAATGTTTATAAATCCCAGGCCCTGAAGATGATCTCAATAAAGATTGAAACGTTAGCACGATAAAGAAAATGTTTTTCTAAAACCTACATCACACCAGACCGCATCTCACGATCTCTGAATAATCATTAACTAACGGTCACTAAACACCACATATTGCCTTTAATTCCCTCTTGTCCTGGGACCCACCTTAATGTTAGGCTATTTGTAAATCTTTTTTTTTACAAGTTTTGAGTTGACCTCATAGGCTTGGAGAGCCTTTAGAACTGCCTGGCTATCAGATAGTATTATTATTATTGCACCCTTGATTTATTTGTTATTTATTTTCATGTTCACATGCATCTATCGCTAGCAATTCAGCTTGATAAATAGTTTTCTTTATAGGTTTTTCAAAGTCTAGTCTTTTTTCTGATGTTCATGTTCACATCAAGGCACATCATAGATTGTCTGTGTGTACAACAAAAGATCCGTCTTTTGCCATTAAATGTCTGTTTGTTTATCGAGCATGTCCTATCCTTAATCTACTAAAAACTACTTCTGAGAGCCAAGTGTTTTGTACCGAAGATTGCCATTTTGTTACTGTAGGTTTGATATTTCATATCTAAATGACAAACATAAAATGACAATTATAAAAAGGCACTGTTTATTAACATGTACAAATTGTTATAATTATTACATTAAATTATTAATAACGAAATTAACACCAGGAATATATAAATATGAGTTAAGACTTTTCAATAATAAAAAAAAGGCAATTTATCACAGATTAGGATCACACATTTTGATAAAAAAATTGACTATGAGGTTTAATTTAAATCCTATTCTGAAATCTGTTCATTTTCACTGTTAATTAACTATTTTGGCTGAGCTGTATTGCTTGTATTTTTTATTTTTTAAAAGTCAATTTTTTCTTAACAGCAATGTGGTTATTTTTTTTATATATAAGCTGGAATAAAAGGAATATTTAATAAAATTTCGCTTAATTACTAAAATAATATTAGAGTGCAAAATTTATTCACATTATTCTGTTGTGTTTTCTGCTTCTCTTTTTCGTTTCCCTGGCTTTTGTGTTGCAGATTTTTCCTTCTCAAGTATCGTCATCGCTTCAAGCTTATAAAATAGAAAGCAAAATAAATTAATAATTACCGAACATTAAATCTTGCAAAAATCTTTTTCTGCTCACAATTTTTTCATTGTATCTGAAAAGGAGTTTGATATCATCGTAGTTTATTTTCGACCTTTTAGCATGCCTGCGAAATTTGTCAGATTGTTCATATTGGCTGAAAAACAGTTTCAAACAATCAATGAATCTCACCGAGCGAAATGCTCAAGGTCGGTGGCATAGCACTGCATCTTCTTCCATATGAACTCGGTGATGAGCTGTTTGGCATCCTTGTTGACGGTGAACTTGCCGAAAATAGTGTTGTTCATCCCAACGTCATCACACGTTTTACTGACAGCCAGATATGTTGTTAATTTCAATTTCTGTTACAGAACAATTACAATAAATAAATATTTTAAAAAATTGCACGTTTTAGTGTTAGATGTATCAACCACTTTTTTACTCAATAATCTTGGTATGGTCTGGATGAAAAGCAAATTCAATTGTTACTGACAAACTTTTGACTTATTTTAGTGTCATAATCAGGACAAAAATCTTAAATCGTATACTAATATAATGATTGAGGTTGTGGTAGTTTTTTTTTTTTTTTTTAAATACTGTTCTGCCAAGTTTTTGACTTTATTTGAATCGGACATTTTTTTTTCTCACAAAATGCTTTTTTGAGGGATTCCCATTCTCTAATTGTTGGCGCCCTTATGATTATTATGATTAAGTAAAATCTGGCAGGGTGTTGTAGATGAAACCTAGCATTCATTTGGAAAAGGAATTATCTTTCAGAGGTGGTGTAAAAAGGAATGTCTTTCCAACTTGAAATTTTGGCTGTGCAGTCTCTAACAAATCATTATTATTATTTGCTTTGGATAAGTAGTAAGAATTTGAATTACAAGTTAAGAACCAGGAGATGTGATTGCAAAACCCTTCATAAATAGCATAGCAGAAGAGCGGTTTTGCTCATTGAAGAAACCACAAACTGACCCCTTACTCTTCATCCAAAGTCCATCTAACATTCCAGCTTATACTGAAAAATTTCTATAAATGTAAAAAGTCTGATTTAAAAAAATTGTTATTTACGGCCTTAAACCTTTTTTTCACAGCAAATATACAATTATTTTAATGCATATAATACATTATTACATTACAATTTTATACATTGTTTTTATGCATTATTTATATTAACGCATAGTACATTAATAGTTGCACGTATAGTTATTATTATTTTTTATTGAACATAAATTGGATATTACAAAATATACCTATCTGTAATTCATTGAGCCTTCTACATGCCTATTATTATTATGATATTAATTTTATCTCTTCCAATAATTTAGGGCAGTTTACACAGTTATATAATAGATTAAATATAAAATTTACATCACAGATAGTTCTTCTATTTTCAAGTGTATTGATATTTAATATAGTTCTTAAACTATATTAAATATAGTAACAGTAACTGTTAAATGTTCTTAAACTATTACTGTATTTGTTTCATTTAAAAAAAAATGTGTATAATTGAGTATATTTAAGATAGTTTTGCCCTGATGATGATCTTAAAATAGGTCAAAAGCTAAGCAGTAAGAACTGAATTCCTTTTTACAAACACACCACACCGAGATCCAGATTATTCATGATGTTGATTTTTCCAATGTTGTGAATGTCGTATGTTGTGGCTCAACTGTTTATGGAGGAGGATGTGAATGTAAACGCATTAAAAAAAAAATCACAAAACATTGGAAAAGCTTACTATCACCCAGTGCAAAATAGACAAAAAAATTATTTTGCCATTCTACAACAGATAATTTAACTAATTACCTCGTCGGTGGATAATGACTTCCAATCCATGGCGTTAAAAATATTAGATAAATATACACTTTTTTAAACTGAGGAAGACGTTTCAAGTCATTGTTGACATTTTAAAAGCAGCCAGAGGATAACAGCTGTATAGTATTTAAAGCTTTAACCTCCAATGACTGGAAATTAAAGAGACGGAAAATTAAGTATTGTTGCTCAGTACTTCAGGGGATTTTAACTTGTTCGGTTAAAAAAAATTATTCTTAACAAACTTCATTTTCCACTCATTCAATTTGTTTAAATAACCAGATTTTTTTGCGTTTAACGGACGTGAATCGTGCCAGAGTGGAAATAGTATTAATGGGGACAAAAAGTAAAAAAAATGTAAACAGTTTTTCCTGTTTTTAAAAATCTTTTACAAGGAATTCAAAGGCGTTTAACACACGTGATTCGGTCCAGAGGTGGAAATACTCAGTGTTACAGGAGACAAAGATTTTTTTTTAAATTAGTTTTTTCTTTATTCAATAATTGTTTGTTTAGAATTAGGTAATAAACATTTTCTTTTTAAAAGACTTATATTTACAACAAACCTATTTTTGGAATGCAAAATATGAATAAACCTAAATACACGAAAGTTTAAGGGTGGTGCGTTTATTGGTCCATCAGTGCAGTTGTAATTTACATATTGTAACAAAAAATTGCAGATTTTAATAAAATTCTGAAATAAAAAATAAATGATTAAGATCAAAATTTTTAGTTAAATTTTAATCTATAAGTAAATGATTTTCCAGTATTTTGGTGAGTTTTCTTTCAAACCATCAAAATTAAATAATTTTTATTAAAACTCATAAATTTTTGATCTTGTTTAATTTGGTGTACATCAAAATAAGTATGTTGTAATTAATAGAAAAATAAAAATAATTAGAGTTTGAAATAATTTTTTTTCTCTTAGTTTGAGTATATTTATAGTTGTCCGTTATAAAGAAGTCAATTACTCAGATGAGTACTGACGGTGAGGATGGGAGGATGTATTGAGGTTCAGAGAGTTGTCCGCTATAGAGGGGTTTCATCCGTTTCAAAGGTTAGGCATTAAAACGTCAGTGCTGAAAGGTATAACCTTTCTGATGTGTAACCGTTAATTTTTGAGTGCGGCTTCAGCAAAACGTGTCCAATAATTACTGTTTCGTAGAATATTTCCCTTATGAAAATGGTATTCGTTGGACAGGGGTTTCCCACGAAAATTATATGAAGTGGACAATATCGGCCAAATGAGTTACGCTTTATTTCAAGGGATATAATAGAAACAAGGTAAACCGGGCAGTATTCTTTTAAAATGTGTTACTTAACTACGCTCGTCTCGCTTTAACGCAACTCGAAGCGATAATTTTCTCGCTCTGACGCGGCCGATAGGTAGATTCGGGGTTTCACGCTTCATTTCAACCGGTGGTCGGGTTTTCCCTCTTTCTGCCTATTATAAACGCAAAGTGAAAGTTAAAATGCTCTTGGGTTGATAAACTAAGCTTTTAAAAGTAGTAAGTACTTTGAATGCAGTCGGAAGAAAGTGCCTAGTGTTTCTGGATGTCAGGTTGACGATATACTACATTATTTAGCCTACTGTAACACATCTCACTTTCAAAGATAACATTTGAGTTTAAATAAAACTAATTTAACAGATGTATAAGTGAGAGTTGAATAGTAAGTTTAATCTAGATTGTGTTTGTGAGATTTCCTCCTGGGGTCTGCAGGGTGACGAACCTATAATTCGATAGTTATCTATCATCTTGGTCTGCCTATCCTCGCTGATTTTGTCAGACCAAGAGTCATGCTCTGATAGACATGATATCTCTGAATGTGTTGAATGTAGAATACTTTAATGAAAATTATTTTATATACCAACAGTGTCTAACTGTCTTCCCAGCCGCAATGTGTGGCAGCTAGAATCTTTCAGTTAATATCAGAAGTCAAAATGGTAGTTTTTTGGAGGGGTGGCAGGCTTGCTGCACATGAGTGTTGTATTTCAACGGTTCTCTCATCAAAATTTGCAATATTTGGGTTTAATTTTCACCCCTAAACTTGCCCTTAACCCCCCACCTTTAACGCAATATTTAAATTCTGATTACTTATATTAGCTGAATGGATCGTACACGTACACACAGAGCTGAGCGTATTACTTCTCACAGTCAGCTGGTAATTCTGGCTTTTGCGTAATTTGCTATTAATTATTGGCAGGTCGTGATAGTCGCTCACCTTGTGTGTTAGCAGTATGGGTTAAGGCTTGGTCTTATCCATCCAGCCACTGAGGTTGTTCTCCAGGGGCTTTCAGCAATTAGGTCATTTCAGCCCCTAACGCATTCGACTGATTCCAGATCTAAACCCACTCTCACACTATTAAATACATTATTTCCTTAGGGGGTGGTGGAGAACTCAATATTCATCCATCGACCCTCTTATACTACACATTCACTCTAATAAAGATAGTCACTCTCAACACTCAAAAATATACATAATACAATAAAATAACCCTGTTTCCTCCAAGAAACAGAAAAGAGACCTAAATACTCGCTGTTATTCTCAAGCACAAGTCTCATATTGGGTGGATTTGCAAAGTTGCACTATTCAATTTTGCGAGTTAACTTTTACCTTGGCCCATGTCTTGAATACATCCTAGTATTTATTGTTCTTTTTTTAATTTCTTTTTTATGAGGCTAGAGTTTATGCTGCTCAATAGATTTGGTTGTATGAGTTGTTCTGAGAGTTCCTTTTTTAGCTGGTATGTCTACTGCCTCATTGTCTGAAATTCCTTCATGACCTAGGACCTACCTTAGCTGTTCATACATAACGATCCCCCTTTCTAAGGATATTCAGGCAGTTCCAGACAAGTTTTGAGTTGACCTCATAGACTCGGAGAGCCTTTAGAACTGTGTGGCTAGCAGATAGTATTATTATTGTTGCACTGTTGAGCTGTTTGTTATTTATTTAATGTTCACATGTTTCTAAAGCTAGCAATTCCGCTTGATAGACATTTTTGAAAGGGCCAAGAGACATGTGCCCTCAGTTAGTGCCCCTTTATGAGTTTACCAGTTTCTTCAGTTTATACTTATAAACTAAGCTTATGGTAAATCAAAAATCCTCTAAAGCCGTGTTTCTGGCCAATGCCCCCCAGAGGGACAATTAGAGTTTTAAGGGAAGCAATTTTGAAAATAAGTCGTTTAGATTTTTAGTCAACTATGTGCCAATTTTCATTTATCATTTAGTTAAAAAATCATTGAATATAGTAGCTTCTGTTCGCCATGAAATAACTGAATTTTTTTGTAAGACCTTGGGTTATTCCAATCCTCAAGCATTTCGTGCTATTTTTCATTATCCCATTATAATTTCTGTCGGTATCTTATTTCACCGCATTTCAAGTAAGGCTTATCGTCATTGCTGCAGTAATTTAAATTATGGTTCATTAAAATCTTTATAGTCTCGCTTTTTCATAATTCAGTATATTTTATTAAAGTGTCAGATAAATTATATGTGTATTACGTTGTCACGTTATATTAATTTAGTTTTTAAAGGTCCTAATTCTAGAACAATGACAAACAATTTTTTTTTTTTTTTCAATCTTCGGGTAAATTTAGCATGAATATTAATATGCAAAAAGATACAAGCTATTCGTGTTTTTATGAAAAGGAAAAACAAACTTAAAACTAAAATTTTAATAAATTTAAACAATACTGTAAATGTAATCTTACAGGCTTATATAATTTGTTACCAATACTGACTTTTGCATATCAACACCTCCACAATTAACTCCAAATCTGTAAAGCAATGAATTGAAAATAAGATTTGGCATTTTGATTTTTATATACAAACACTACTGTGCAAATTATAATCCGTATATTTTTGTATGATAATTTCAATGTTAAATGAAATTTACGAGCCTGAGCCCCATAAATTACAAAACAAACCTATTTAATCGCACAAAACTTGATAATCGAGATCAGTGCAAGTGATGATTTTTGTACTGAACAAAACACTGCAATATTTAACAAGAATTAATATTAATTAGTATTTTGCTATTGTATATAACTGATTTACCAAGTGAAGGAAAATAAATAGATTGAAATACATTCCAAGAATCATATTACTTTCTAAGATTATAATTCACATGAAGAAAGCTGTCAGATATTTGATTAAATTTGGAAATTTCAATCAAATCAACGTGTGTTTTTACTCATTTTGAGAAAATAAGGTTTAATAAGGATATTAATTAATGTCCAGCAAATATGTTTCAATGATGCATGTGTTAAAATGCGACAAGTCAACTATTTTGGTATGAAGTATAATTTGGGTATACCAGATGCCCTTTTTAAAAGTACTTTGGACTTGAACCAACAAACTTTTTAGTGTCCACCAGCGACTGCTTTTTTATTTTTATTTTTTAAGTTAGATTCTTACTGATGCGATCTTATCAAGTTTGATCACAGTCTTTTTATATTGGTGTGTTAAAGGAGTATAACTTATTTTAAAAATTGAAGATCATCACAAGATGAGTTCCAGATCAAACAATTTATTAACCCTTATGTTTGTGCCATTGCCCTAGACGCGGAACATGGCTTTTGGGGGTTTAAACATTTTTATCTACTCTCTTTTATCAATTATTCTATAGTGATTTTCACAATAATTTTTAACTTTGAAAAGTCTAAATGGGCCATGGCACAAAAATGGTTGAGAAACACGTTCTAAAATAATCTTTTTAATTACCTTATGATCAACTGATTGAGATCAACTCAATTGAGAACATATTTTGTGTGATATTTATTTATTTTGCGAAAAAAAAGTAATTGTTTCCTCATCTATATGAATAGGTTACACTTTAAATGCTGAAGTTTACTTACTAAAGTGAATTAAAGTGAGATGCATCTACTTACGCTGATTACAATTGTTTCCTCTTTTACCCTCTCGTCGGTAAAATGTTGGGACCAAGAAGACATAGAAGTTTTTGACGCCGTCGAGGAGATAAGAGAGAACTTTTATGAACTACTTGGGGTATCTCATGTAAGCTAAATAAGTACATAAGAAAATGTGTTGACTTGATTATTTTGACTATTTGCAAATGTGAATTTAGACTGCAGAGCCAGATGAGATCAGGAAAGCTTTCAGACAGCTTTCACTGAAGGTACACCCTGACAAGAGCAACCACCCAGATGCCGAAACCCAATTCAGAAACTTAGTGACCGTCTTTGAAATCCTCAAAGACCAATCCAAACGTACCAAATATAACGACGTACTAAAAAATGGCTTGCCAGACTGGAAACACCCTGTATATTACTACAGGCGCTATAAAAAAATGGGTCTTTTGGAGTTAATGCTAATTTTATTTGGAATTATCACCATCGGGCAGTATCTTGTTGCTTGGGCATCATATTTAGAAAAGAAATATGTATTGGTAAGTAAAAATTTTTAAATTTTAATCAGAATTTTGTTATTAATTTTGGACTGTTTTAAAGGAAGAATTTGTTAGTATTAAGAGTAAAAAACTTCAAAAAAGGCAGAAAAAAGGAAAAATGGTGGACATGGAAGCCATCAAAGTGCTTCCTGAATTGGTCACAAATCTTCCAAAACCAAGGTTTTTTTTAAAATAAGTACTATTCCATGATGAAATTAAATAATCTTTACTTATTTTATTTTCAGCGTTTATTGCACTCTTCCAGTTCAGATATGCCGGCTATGCTGGTTTTTGATTGTCAAGGCTCCTCCATTAGTGATACATTGGATTAAAGAATATTCCCAAAGAAAGGAGAAGGAAGAAGAAAAAGAGTGGGTGTCTGCTTCTCCACTTAAAAATTATGATGTATTTAACTTCAAAAATAATAATTTTTATAAATAAGTTTTTGTTTTGTTAATTTAGTAAGTTACTACATAGTGGTTTTATTTTTGCAGAGAATCGAGTTCTGAAGAGGAAGTGTATGTCCCAAGAGAAAGAGGTCCAAGGAGGCGAAAAGCGTTCCAGATACCTGAGATGAAAGGTATGTTCAAATTTCTTAAAATTCAGATTAATATTTAATATAAAAAAATGATGTAAACGTTTTTAATTAGACTCTAACAATGAAATAAAAATCAAAGATGAGCCCAAAGCTGCTCCTACCAAACCCACACCTGTGGTGTCTGGTGGGCTGTGGACTGATGATGACCTTTTAGATTTGATACGCCTAATGAAAAAATACCCAACGGGTACTCAAGAACGGTAAGGATTTATCTTACAATGACTTAATGAAATGTTGAAACTAACAAGAAAAATTTCCTAGGTGGGAAAAAATAGGCGAATCGATGAAAAGGGCGCCTTTTGAAGTCGCACACATGGCACACAAAATGAAAGACGATGGTTTCAAACCTCCCAAAAAGGTTGTTGTTTGTTCAAATTTTATTTTATTTTTTTTTCTTTATAACAATAAATGTTTAGGACGACGAGGAGAGCACCGTTGTAGAAGAACCGCGTAAGAAAATGAAGACAAAAGGTGGTAAAATGGCGGAAGACGTAGAGGAAGGTACCTGGACACAAGTACAGCAAAAATCCTTGGAGCAAGCTCTGGCAATTTATCGTAAAGGGACACCAGGAGACAGATGGGAAAATATAGCCAAAGCTGTCCCTGGAAAAACCAAAGTATGTATTACACTTAAATTTGAGGCAAATTTTTATTTTACATTATTATTATTATTATTATTATTTTATAGGAAGAGTGTATGCAAAGGTATAAATACTTAGCAGATTTAGTGAAAAAGAGAAAACAGAATGCTGAAGAGTCATCCTGATTATTTAAGCTGTTTGACTTAAGTGATACAGAAGAGAATGGTTACATTTTTGGCCCATACTTTCTATTGTTGATAACAAAAGTTTTATTGTAAATATTTGTAATTTTTATAAATATGGTATGAATATTTATGAACGTTTGTCTGAGTGAGCCCAATGGTTGTGCTTTTAAAATAAAAATCATGGGTTGGTTTTTAAAAAAAGTTTCTTTTTATAGTTTTGTTGTGTGTCTATTACAAATCTGTTCTTATGTGATGGCAGGCTAAGTTCTGAAACAAATGTAATATTTTCTATAAATTATTTATGTTAATATAAGTTTACACAAATATATTTCTTTTTGATTGTTTGATCACAACCTATTTGTCTAACTGAAGTTTTTTATTTTATTTTTTAAAATGTCATATTAATCCATAACAAACCGTAGTAAAGTAGTAAATCTTAATGGTTGAACAGTAATTTTAAACCAAAATTTTTTTATTAGCTGTTAATATTTTATACTCAAAAAAACTATTTGGGAGTTGCCTTTATGCATTCTACTTTACCTGGGAGTTGCCTTTGTGCTTCCTACTTTGCCTTAAAAAGGTTATATTTGGAGAAAAAAAAACTATCTGGGTTTGTTTATTTATATATTTTATATATTGTAATCTAAGAGTAGAGTATTTGCATGCATCAGATGCTCTTTTTTGCCTATCGATCTAATTACGAAGTTATTCTAGGTTTATATCAAACATAGCTTTCTCAGAATTGCATTTTCCCCAAGCATATGCTGGGCTGCACATAGGAATTCAGCACAGGAATATTTTTCAACGACCGAGTTGAATTGTTTTGATGAGTCGATGACATTCAAAGCCATCTTTGATATAACTGGTCTTATATCTTGATATGAGTAAGTCGTGTATACAATTAAATTGTCCGACCAGAACTGCGGGCTGATGTTTGTCTTAGAGATGCACATCGATATGAACACAGCTGTTGCTGCTATCAAGGAAGGTTTGACATGGCAGAATGAAGAGTCCAGGAGACATAGGTCTACCAAAAATTTAGAGAATGTATACTGTAATGCTGTTGCCCTCAAGACCATGTTGAACCTCCTCAGGAAGTAGACTGTAGAAGGCCTGGCGAGATCAAAAGCGAGAGTTTTAAGAATTTCCCTCTCTGTTTGCAAAAAATCGCTTATCTTGATGTTTTCATCGATCGTAGGCAAGAGGTGTGTCAGCGATACTTGTGAAATTTCTTCATACTTCACAGCGATTGATAGACAACAGAGTGCTATCAGCTTGAGATTTTTCTCTCTTGGTAGATTATCTGAGGATAAACATCTGTCAAGGAGTGAGACAGCCAAATGGATTGTCTCTTGAAGCAAGTTGTAATGATTGTTAATGCTAGTAAGCCAATTGATAACATTTTTTCTCATCAACTTGCTCACATTGACATTTAACGGCCACTTTTTAAGCGTGTACCTCTCCTCCATTTGAAATAAATATTTAAAAACATCAGAAGCATATTCTGGGATATAAAAAATGTTCCCTTTGTTTACTTCATCTATATCTTCAACATCGGCCAACTTTGGAAGTTTCTCTTCATTGTTTGGAACAACTTTAGTAAATATTTTCATCGGTTCATTTTTATTCATGTTGACTGACTTTTTCCTGACAGGCAGTAAAGATCGTTGTTTGTTTTGATGAACGAGACCTGGTTTTTTAATACATACAGCTTTAGTCTCCTTTTCATTTGTACCATGGGTCAAGTTGCTGATGTTGCTAAGAGCCTTTCTTTTCAGTAGGCCTGCAGAGAGCGTTTTGCCCACTGTTCCCTTTGGCTGGGAGTTCTCATCAAAACAAAAGTTCTGAACTTTTCTCTTCTTAATTGCGTTGGACGGCGCTGGCATCATGATTGTCGAATGCAGGACTTTTTGTTTGTTATTGAAAGATTCTTTTAAAATGACATATGCTTTACATATGTTTTACATTATATCATGAAAACATTTAATTTAATTTGTAATATTTAGTGACTGTTAATTACTGATTATTTAAAGATCACAAGATACAATCTGTATGATATAGGTTAGAAAATCTTTTTATATCACATCAGACCTTGTTTCACGATCTTTAAATAATTTCATGTCATAACATTCCTAATGAGCTATGATGGGCAATCATACAGTGTAACAATATGAGATTTTTATGTACCATATAATTTTATTTATTATTATTTTATGAGGGTTCACAATAGCAGAGGTCATATCAACCCTCGGGGTGCTGGTGTTTTTGAAAAATGCCATTTTGTAAGTATTTCAGGTTTGAACAAAGGGCTGCTGGATTTGAACCTGGGACCTCTAACTTACAGTGGCGACCGCCACACCAAAACTATTTTGGCCAGTGATGCCTTACCATGTAATTTAGTCATGCTTTGATTTGTATATATTTTTTTCTTATAAGATTTTTTGGAGCTAAATCTATTTTTACATTAATTTAATGATAAATGTACTATGAAAGGCAGTTATTATAAATCCACGAGTCAAAAGTTCAATAGGCCAATAAGATTTTAGCTTTAAAGAAGCACACATATTTTTGTGTGCTGTTGGTTTTTAGTAAAATAATAGCCACGCTATGTTACAACAGAACCTGTATGTTGTAGCTGTCAATTATAAATTATTGAGAAGACATCATTATCAGGATGATGAAATGACTTGAAAATGGATGATAAATGGCCGAAGTAATGGATGAACTGCTGATCTCTGAGATATTAACTTTGTCAATTCCCTTTTGTAATAATGTAATTAATATTCTCTCTTATGTAATGCCTGTGGAAAATGTCTATATGAAATCGTTTCCTTTTTGAAACTTATAAACATTTTAATAATGAAAGTTGAGTACTTAGTAAACTCATAATCTATTTGTATCTTGTCCTCCCCCTCTTTCTCACCCATTTTATTCAATTGCTCTCACCATCTCTCTAAATATCTCACCTCGCTTCTCTCCTTATCTCTATTAAATATATTTGTACATTATCCATTATTTATTTATCTATATGTATATCGTTGTAGCTATCTCTATATAACCTCACCTGATTCCTTTACTAATTGTACCTATTTCTCTATACATGTAATATCTACAAAAATATCCATATATAAATATATAATGACCTATCACTTATCTACCCATTTGATGACTTATCATTCTACAAATCTATCAACAAATCTATTTATCAATAAAGCTATCATCATCTACTTTCATGACCAATTATTTTAATCAAAAGAAATTATATGTAAACTATAAATCTAAATATGTATGTCTATTATTTTTTTTTATTCACTCTCTTTCTCTCATGGACTCTCTTTCACTCTTTCCCTCTCTTTGACTATATCACAGCGAAAATAAATAAATTATGCATCAATCATTCATTCAATCAACCAACCAATCAATCAATCATTGGCTAAATCATTGCAACTATATATCAATCAATCCCTCTCTCTCTCTCACTCACTGACCAAACCAATGCGTCTATATATAAAGCATTAATCTCTCTCTCACTCCCCCCTCCCTCTCTCTCACACACACACACACACACACACTTTCTCTCTCACTCACTTACTCTCTATCTATCACTCACTTACTCTTTCTCCCTCTCCAAATCACTGTGACTATAAATAAAGTGTCAATCAATCAATCAATCAACCAACCAACCAACCAACCAACCAATCAACCAACCAATCAATCAATCAATCAATCAATCTCTTACGCTCACTCACTCTCTCTCTCTCTCTCTCTGACCATTGCACATGTTTCTATCTGTTGTATGTATGTTTATTTATCATGAATTTTGTATTTTGTTTCTACAACATTTCTATCTTTCCTATTTATTCACTTTCACTCTCTTTCTCTCATGGACTCTCTTTGACTAAATCACTGCTGACTATAAAGCATCAATCAGTCAATCTCTGTCTCACTCTCTGACCAAACCAATGCGACTATAAATAAAGTATCAATAAATAAATAAATCTTGCTTTCACTCACCCATTCTACTCTCTCCCTGTGTAACCAAATCACTGTCACTGTAAATAAATCATCAATCAATCGACCAGCCAATCAATCACTCATCCAATCTCTCTCTCACACACACATTCTCACTCTCTCTCTCTCACTCACTTACTCTTTCTCTCTCCAAATCACTGGGGCTATAAATAAAGCGTCAATCAATCAATCAATCAATCAATCAATCAATCAATCAATCAATCAATCAATCAATCAATCAATCAATCAATCAATCAACCAAATCAATCAAATAAATCAAATCAATCAAATCAATCAAATCAATCAATCAAATATATCTCTTACTCTTACTCAATCTTTCTCTCTTTGACCACTGCACATGTTTTTATCTGTACGTACCTCTATTTATCAAGAATTTTGTATTTTGTTTCTACAACATTTCTATTTTTCCTATTTATTCACTTTCACTCTCTTTCCCTCATGGACTCTCTTTGACTAAATCACTGCGACTATAAAGCATCAATCAATCAATCAATCTCTCTCTCACTCTCTAACCAAACCAATGCGACTATAAATAAAGCATCAATAAATAAATAAATCTGGCTCTCACTCACTCATTCTCTCTCTTTGTGACCAAATCACTGAGACTGTAAATAAATCATCAGTCAATCGACCAGCCAGCCAATCACTCACTCTCTCTCTCTCTCTCTCTCTCTCTCTCTCTCTCTGACTAAATCACTGCGACTATAAATAAAGAATTAATCAATCATTCTCTCTCACTCTCACCCATTCTCTCAACTTTCTTTCGGTTTCTCGGTTTGTCGGGGTGGATGTGACGGTAGGGGCGCGTGTTTTTGTTTGTATTTATCTATTTATTTTACTTACCCTCTGTCTTTAATTTCGATTATTGGCGAAAAAGAAAGTTGATTTTTAAATTATCCTTTTTGAAAGAAAATAGTTGGTAATTAATGTAGAAATATTGATGTTTACTCGCTTCTTTTTATTATGTTCATAACGAAATGTTATTAATCATTAAACGTATTTTTGTAGTACTTTTTCAGTATAACATTTTGGTAATTTAAATAGAAAAAATTAAAAAATGGCGAGGGGTAAAAACTATTACATTTTGTAACAGTCATTTGTCCGTTAAATTGAGTGAATCGTGAGCGCAAATATTTCTATAAATAAAACAAAAGTGCGTAGACATGTCATACGAGAACCCAATAAACCATTTTTAGATGAAAGAAAAAATAGTTAAAAACTCCCAGTGAAACCGTTATCGGGCCATTCCGAGTCTTTGCCGAATCGTAGGTACTGACCTGGCTCCCCTCCAGGCTCGCCCTTGAAAATTCCCCGAGGAACCCCCTGGAACTCTGGAACTCGCTGTATCAGTCTTTAAGCGAACTTCAACATCGCAACGACGTGTGATACACACGTGGATCAGACTGCGATTTCAGGGTACTAACAAAACAAAGAGGAGAAAACTGCCCTTTGAATCAATTGGAAAACCAACCCTCAAACTATAAACGTAAGTTTCTTATTTTCAAAAATCCTGCCACCCTAATGATGACAACACCTCATATTTTGTATATATTGAAGAAATTAAACAACGTCAAAAAATTAGGCTTACAATTCAAAATCATCATCAATATCCAACATCTTTAATCTCAAAAAGACAAAGGGTTTTCATTTAAAATGACAAGTCTTACAATGAAGAAAAATACACTAAAATGTTTCAAAAACGATATTGGTGCTTGAAAGGTGATTATTTGGTCCTAAATTGATCCTAGTCCGATTGTAGCTGCTGCCTCATAGATTTATTTGCTCTTTGATGAGTTAAAGTGCCATCTAATCTCCGATTAAAAAAAAAGAAAAAAATATCCATATTTTCGACGTGTTTATTCGTTAGAGTTATATATATAATTTTAACCTTCTTTCTATTTGAAAAAAATCGAGTTCTTGGATAACTTTTGCATATTTTGTTTTTGATTATCTAAAATTCTGATTAATTTTCATAGATGTTTGCCTGATTCAGTTCGTTGCCAAATGGGGTTTGCTTAATAAATCTAATCATAGATCATAATCTAAATAAATCTAATCATAGAGATTTTTCTAACAGGAAATGACACATCTGGTAATTATATTGAGTAGAAACCATCCTAAGGGTCATATTCGGTAATAGTGTTGGCCTTTGCCATATACTATTATATTATACGTAAAGCCGGCATGGTTGTAGCAAAATTCCAAAATTAGGTTTTTCTCAAAGCGCTTTTCAGCCCTTTACACGATTTCCTTTGAGAAGATAGCTGATGGTGGGATTTAGGATGTCTGCAATGATTCACTTGCTCGTCAGACAAAGAATAAACTGAAAAGTGACCAATAGATTACCCTTGACAGCCCTAATTTATTTACAATAACGTTAAGGCCGAAATTATTCTGATCAAAATCACCATGAAACTTATTTGGCCTGACTCGAAAATAATTAAATGAAAAAAAATATATTTTTCACAGTATGAACATCCAGATGTTCGAACGATCGAGTTGGAAGAAGATATTACAGCTTTTGTACTCTCTTTATATTTATCCAAATCATTCCAATGTCACGAAATGAAACGTAAACGTAACGTAATATATTTTCAAGTTCTTCAAATATAGCTACAGCTGTGTCGCCAAATAGAAATGGAAAACTGATCAAAGTTGTTTATACAGATGGAATTTAAGATATCGTCTTTCTGGGTCACGTTCTAGGCCTGCGATGCGCAATTATTAAAGCTATGGTGATAAACTGCCAAATCCAAACATATTTTTTAATGAGACCATTCTCTGTGAAGATATTTTAAATGTTTTTTTAAATATTCGACAAGTTTAATATGCAAAACAATTCAATTCGAACTTGTACTCTAAGAATATAATAATTTCTCATAATTTTAATTTTTTAATTATTGCCAAACAATTGAAATTTTATTATTTATTTTTACTGTTGATAGTTTACTTGAACCGACAGAAAAGCAGAAGGCTGCTGAGTAACGTAGCTTTAATGCATTACGCAGCATCAGAGATTGCTGGAAAGACTACTTATTTTTTTATTAAAATATTTTCTATTTATAAAAGCAAAAAATTAAAAAAAAAACAACTGTCAAACCTTAATATAGTTCTTTCAAGATTGAGTAAGCTCTATTTGTAATGTTTAACTTGCAAATATGCAAATGTGCATATTATATAAGCAATATATATTTAAATATCAATGAAAACTTGATCGGTTGGAAGTTCGTGCACGTTAGCATTTATTAGTTTAGTTCTAATTAAAGTTTTTTGTGATTTGCAAATTTTTACCATATTACACTCATAACAAAAAAAAGTCAGCATTAACATGAATAAAATTAACTTTCAGATTTAGCCGGAATAATTAGAAAAAATAGTAAAATCTGAATAGTTTTCTTAAAAGACAAATTACGAGTTGGCAAATCTAAGGAAATAGAGAATTTTAAGCCGTTCCGAAACGTGATCAAAATTACTCCACACTTTTGCACAAAGCCTTATTTTGAATCAGTATCAAGGACAAAATTGTCAATTTATATAATTAGCTTTGATAATTAAACGTTCCGAAAACGTATATAAACCGGCTGTCAATTAAATTTATTATGTGAAAAAAAATATTGAGAACATAGGCCGAGGTTAGTGGGTAAACTGGTCAAGACAAGGTAATACTTTTGCAGAAGAACGATCTAGCTATTCCACCTTCCATTTGAGATCGCAGGATTTTGCAAATAATTAACAAATGTGTCATCTTTATCTTACTCTGCAGATTGTGGTATTAATTTCATAAAGGCGGGAAAACGGCTTAAGGAGTTGTACGGCAAGAAACCGAGGCCACCGAATAAGTTATTTCACACAACACCACTACCTAAGGAATTCAGGGGCATTTTAATTAATTTTATGCACCAGAATTTGGCGGCTTTTGGACGCTATAGTAAAAGCGCGAAAGACACGTCAAGAGCGCAGAAAAAATTCATTACGAAAAATTGCCCACGCACAGAAGCAGTCGTGAATTACAGGCAGCTTTGGTCAATGTCGGCCAACCCGGAAGACTTGATTATCTAACGCCTGGCCATTTTATAATCGGGTCCGCCTTAAGAAAGAACTTAAGATTTAACTTCGTCGAACTTTTTATAAAATAATGGTGGGAAAATTCTATTTGATGGATTCCTCAGACTAGCAAAATCCCAACTCTAACAGTTCATAAGAAATGATAAGTAATAACCCAAATGGTCAGAAAATTTCATTAACTTTGCAACAACCGTAAGTTTAATTTTTATTTAAATTAACTTTTAAGTTTATTAAAACAATAAATTTTTGTTCTATATACAAATGTGTGGTGATTAGTGACCGTTAATCGATAATTATTCAGAAATCGTGAGATGCGGTCTGGTGTGATGTAGGTTTCAGAAAAACATTTTCTTTGTCGTGCCAAAATGAATGAAACAAGTACTTTATTAGATAAACAAAAGAGAAAACAAATTGCACATAACTAAAAAGCATCGGACTATAAATTTTGAATAAACAAACAAAACCGGACTAAAAATGTCTTCTCAAGGAATAAAAAAAGAGAAAAACAAACTATATAAATAAGGAAACTAAAATAACATATCTATGTATACAATAAGTAATACATACACTTGAGCACATACGGGGTGTCCCAGTTCCTTCTGACAAAACTCAGGGAATCGATTCTATTCTTCGTTTGGAGCAAAAAATGCCCAGGAGAAAATTTTCGGAAAGTTCTCTATTTTAAAGATATTCGTCAATTTAGTTTTTTTCAACTTTTCACTACCTTACCACATAAAAACGCTTACAACTTGCAAAATGTTGAGACTACAACAAATCCAATTACACCATTTGAAAGAACGCTAAATTTGTTGTAAGATACTTCTATTTGCAATAATCTGAATGACATAAAATGTTAGCCAATATCAGTTGGAACATGCCAAAATTACAAAATTTAAAATTTTGGTCATGATTGCACGTTCTACTGACGTTACAAAAAAAACCTACAACTTGTCGAATTTCACAAATCCCTCTTCATCTAATATGCTTTACGTTGATGTATTCAGGTTTTTAAATAACGTTCTAGTAGAGTTGAAAAATAACAATTGAATGTTCGAAAACGTGAGCTAAGAAAATTTGAATGGGGGGGGTAGAAATAAATCAATTAGAACTCGCTTTGTAAAATAAAATTTATTATTTATTTATTTTAAATTTTGTAATTTTGACATGTTCCAACTGATATTGGCTAACATTTTATGTCATTCAGATTATTGCAATTAGAAGTATTTTACAGCAAATTTAGCGTTCTTTCAAATGGTGTAATTGGATTTGTTGAAGTCTCAACATTTTGGAAGCTGTAAGCGTTTTTACGTGGTAAGGTAGCGAAAAGCTGAAAAACCTAAATTGACGAATATCTTCAAAATAGAGAACTTTTCGAAAATTTTCTCCTGGGCATTTTTTGCTCCAAACGAAGAGTAGAATCGATTCCCTGAGTTTCGTCAGAAGGAACTGGGACACCCTGTATAAATAACCAGGGTGTCTCTTATATACACATTAAACATGTAATAATTGAAATAAAAAACTAGTTCTTTCCTGTAGTTCCAGGCTTCCATCGCAAACTTTACTAATTTTAAGCACTCGGGTTTATTTAGTAAAGAGAATAGGCGCTCTCTTGTCAACGTGGGTAAACCTCGGAATTCCGCTAAAACTAGTCATTGTGCTAAAAAGTAACCAAAATAATAAAACTGCATTTTTTAAATTCAATTATTCAAAATCACATTGCAATTATGGTCTATTAATAGCAACGTACTGCATATCAAAAATTCAAATAAATCGATAAAATTCTTAATGTTTTCGGTAAAATATCATTTTTACGATTATTTTTTTATTTACAATAAGCTATTTTCAACATTGTATGTATTATATACATCATTAACAATACAACAATGCAATTATCGTAATCAAAAAGGAAAAAAAATCAGGCCACTCACAGGCGTTTTATGTGATACTTTCCATCCCAGTATGATAAGTATAGTTGTAATTATATAACGCTTGAATTAATTGTAAAGAAGTGAGAATGTTACATTTTGGAAAAACCATTAAAATTAAATCTTTCTAAATTTTAATTTTATCGATTGGTCTTATCATGTTCTTTTATGTTTCTTTTATTATGTTCTTTTTAGATGGTTCGGCTGAATTTCTCTTGAACCAATGACGCTATCAAAAAAACAAAAAATACGTGTTTAATATTTTTAGTCGTTTCAAATTTTTACCTTTTTTTTGGAGGAAAATTATAAAAGGTATCTCAGGCCCAGTTCAACTTCAGAATTTCAAATAAGACCCTATACATCCTGACACATCATTTTAAAAGATTTTTACACCGAAAACAATGGTGCAATCGAATTATTCACCAGTCATTTGGTTTGCTATTTATTAATCACAAATCATGTTCGAACTGAGTGCCGTGCGTACTGATGCTTTTGC